ACTCTCCTGTCAATTGACTTTAAATTGACATTGTGGGGGGGGTTAAAAACAAAAAACAGCTGCTGCTCTAAAGTAATGTGTAATTGGTTATGTGATGATCACAGGCATTAAAAAATGGACCTTGTTGGTTTGTCTGAAACGCAGCTCCTTATCAGAAAAGATCTGCCTGTATTTCCAGGTTGTTTTTGTTCAGGGTGAAAACAGATAAAATCATCATGTGTACAGCAGCTGTGTATTCAGGGTATCAAGATTTAAAGATGAGACTGAAGGTTTTTGTAGTGTTGCTGCTGGAGGGCCTGAGTCATTTTCCCTGAACACAGAAATGGAAGTGGTCTATTTTGGAGGAAAACACATTCTTGGGGTGATTTTTTTTTTTAAATTTTTTTTTTTAAAGTGTTATGAACTGGATTGGAGGGTTGAAACAGAAAAGCCTAATCACTAAAAGAAACGTGTTAATTAGGATTTGACCTACTGATTAGCTCTTTATAGCTTTTCAAGTGTCCCTGACTCAATGCAAACAGAAACAATTTTAAAATGGAGCTGTTAATAAAGCTTCTACAATGCTCTAATTTTGTCTCTGCAGACCTGCTGCGGATGTTCTTCGACGCCTTGTATGATGAGGACGTCATTAAAGAGGAGGCCTTCTACGAATGGGAAACCAGCAAAGACCCAGCAGAGCAGACAGGCAAAGGCGTGGCCTTGAAGTCGGTCACCGGCTTCTTCACCTGGCTCCGCGAGGCCGAAGAGGAATCTGACAAGGAGTAAAATACTGAACTAAAAGCTGCCGCCAGAGCTCTGCAGGCGACCACGGAGAGTCATGGACAGTATTGCCAGAGAGGCAGACTCGAATCAATCCTCAATGAGGATAAATCTTTATTGTGTTCCTTTTTTTTTCTTCTTTTTTTGGAGGGATGGACTCTGAAAAACAATCATTTCTTTTCTACCTTCCCTCTCCTGCTTCCTCATTATTTCTCCACCTGCTTGTCACAGCAAGTGTCCTCATCAAAGCAAACTTGAAAATGCAGGTTTCAGCAGGATTACTCATTAGCGAGGTGTGAAGTATCCCACATCACTACGAAACTTTCTATGTCAAAGTAAAGCAAACCAACTGGCTGCTCTTTCACCCCTCTAGACGATTCTAATGACAAACAACCTTTCTGATCTACAAGAGGAAACAGCAGGGCGTGAAGTGTAGCGGGCGGGTGGGTTGGTGGAGGGGGGTTTATCAACATGCCATAACATTTGTTCAGTCCCGACATGGCTCTTATGTCCTTGTCCTTTTCCGGAGTGTGCAGCATGACTGAAGTGTGTTCCTATTAACGATCCAGTGGACAAAACGTTACAGTGTACATGAACTAATCTTAATTTGACGGAGTTTTTAAAGCAAAGGTTGTCTATTTTCTCTCGTTTCCTATCATGATAAACTAGCAGAGGACAGAAACACAGAGGGCTGATGTTGACCTTTGACCTTGACTACTAGGGGGTGGTCTTAATGCTTCCTCTTTAAAGCCATTCTCTCCCATCCCCCAGTAGTGAACCACACTGACTGACTCTTCATCTTTTACCTCTTCTGTACTTAAACCTGAGCTGTTGTAGAGGACACTTAACGACCCAATCACCGTTAAAACTTGAAATCTACAGAAAATTGACTTGATAAAATATATAAAGTTTAAAAAAAAAAAAAAAAAAGACACAGAAATGATCCGAAAGCCTTTTCTACTTTAAGTGGAAACTAGTTTCAGGATTTCAGGAGCGTTCTGTAAATATATAATAATAATAATAATAATGATGATGATAATAAACTTTTTCAGTTTTATTTTTCAGAAACAAATTGCTGATGTAATTGCAGTGTCTCCTTATCCAGCAGAAACCGCAGTTGTCCGGATGCAGAGAGGTGCTTTAGATAATCCATTGATTATTAGTTTTATTTGAATTTTGTAAATATTTTCTTTCCTTTTTTTTTTTTTTTTTTTTTTTTTTTTTTCGCTTTCGTTATTTAAAAAAAAAATTATTGCTTCTTTTGCATCGGAAACTGGAAAGGTAATGGAACATTGCAAATAAAGGACTTATTAAGTTGCTGAGCCGAGTTTTGGTTTTTGCCTCTGATGATGATTTTACGTTGAACTAAGGCCGCTCTCATCTGAAACCAGACCAGTTTATTTTCAGTTTGTATTTTTGTTTTTGTCATGTGTAAGTTAACACAGGGTCAATGTGTGTGACCGCAAAACGTGTTTGATGAGATGAAAAACGAGTCCCTCCACTGTGGTTTTACTGATCCATATTGCAATCAGTTTCTAGTTTTGAAGATTTGTCCATGCAGACCTACAAATATGGGAAAAGTGCCTTAGTACCAACTGAGAATGACTTCAACACCACAGTCTGAGTATTGTTACTGACAGTGTTGATCCTTAGATGACCACAGACCACAGTGTACCCGTCGTCCGGTCAGGGCAAGTGGCTTTATTGTCATTCCAACCATGTGCAGTACACAGTGAAACAGGACAACGGTCCTCCAAGACCATGGTGCTACGTATAACAGACAATAAACACAGGACTACATAATAAAGTGCAGGTGTGCAAAAGCTGCAAAAAACCAAAAAGTGCAACACCAGACAGAACAGAATGAAGCAGAAACAACGGTGCAATAGAAAAGTGTGATGGCTGGTTCCAGTAGAACCACGCACAAAGCTCATATCATCACAAACTGGCTTTGTGAATGTGACGATGAGCTCGCTGTACTCAGTCACCAGATCTCAATCCAAAAGAGTACCCTTGGGATGTGGTGGATCTGGAGATTTGCATCATGGATCTGCAGCACCTCTGTGATGCCAGCATGTCAGTGCTAACCGAAATCAATGAGGAATGTTTCCAGCACTTTGAATCTGTGCCAATGTATATTTTAAAATATACATTTCCTGACTTAAACCCCGATGTTACAAATTGATTTTCAGAGTAACAGATGATGCACTTTTATTTTAAAGTGTCAATCTACATAAACTATAAGAAGATATCGGGTTATATGTCGTTGCGACTATTGTCGAGGCCTTGTCCAAATCAGGATATGATGCCATATAAACACATTGTAAATGAATTATAATGCAAATGAATGAATGAATGGACCTTTTATTAAATGTTTAGAGAGTTCACTGTCGGAGGTTGCACGGTTTTGACCTTTAACCTCGAATCACGGTTTTAATGTTTTTCCTTTGCTCTTTTTTTTTTAAAAGTCTGATTTGTGCATCTTGTCGCTCACAAAACTGGACAAATAAGGTCAAACTCGTGACGGAAACCCGTTTTTTGGAACGATCACCCCCTTTTTTATTTTTACTGCAGTAAGTAAATTTCAACACATCCGTCCTGCGTGCGTACTGCTGGTGCCTTAGACGAAAGGGGATTAAAAACGTGCGGTTTCTAGGAAAGACTGAAGCTGCAGGTTGCTGTGTCTTCTTGGCTGCATGGAGGGGGGCGGGTGCAATGACACCGCCTTGCGTTGATGACGCTTGCCATCGGGAGACATTCGGACAGCCTATGTAACCCACATAGCGAGCAACAAATGGTGCGTCCGTCTGTGTCGGAGATGTAGCTGATGCTGGAGTTGGGAAGATGTTTCCGCCGTCAGCGTCGCTTTAATGCTCTACTGCAGACCCTGCAGCTGGAGGACGAACAGCGCGGTGACATCTGTTGATCGGATTGGAGACGTTACAGGCATTATGACGAGCCGCCGCGGTCCGACTTACAGGTAGGTACCGAGAGTGGCTGTGCGGGGAACGATTCCGACCACACGAACCCCGATAGAGCGGTAGAGGTGCAGATAAATGGCAGGTGCTGTTGGTGTTTACCCGATGCGGGTATGGAGCTATTGGTATGCAGATGGAGACTTCAGAGATTCCCGGGGACCTGCTGCTGCAGCATCCGCACTTCTCCTGCGTTATTTTCTGCGTAATCTGTCATCAATGGCGGGGTGATGTGTTATTCAGCCATCAGCGTTCCGCTTCTGTTGCTTGAATGCACCATTTCCAGAAGAAGAAAAAAACCCTCCTCACATATGAGCACTGCAGCTTCCTCCGAGCTGAAGATGTTTGGCTGCAGACACGCTGGCTTAGCTCGATCCCACTTGTTGGTCCCCTAAGTCACAATCAGTGTCTCTGGAGGTGTCAGACGACACATCAGCCCTGTTGTATATGTTTAGTCACGCATATGTTAATGTCAGGAAGTCGCAAACTGGTCTGCCTCTGCAGGGAGTGGACAAAACAATCCAAACACCTCGTGAGGGGGGGAAAAAGGCCTAGAGCGAGTTAATTAGAAGCGCAGTTACACATGTGGCTGTTATTATCATAGGTGCTAATTAGCAGCATTTGTCAGATGTAAAAATAAAAAAAAATTAAAAAGGGGGGTGGGGATGTGTGTTTGCGTGTGTGTGCGCGCACGCTTAAAATCACCTCACGTAATTAACTGCTCCAGAGAGGCCAAATTATATGCAGGTGCACTGGTTGGGGGAAAAAAGAATGAAACACAAGATTTACAAATGCAAGTGTGATGTTTTTAAATCATTTATTTTCTTCTGTTATTATTATTTATTATTGAATAGAAACAAAAACGGATTTTTTTTTAATCACAAATAGTTGCTCATTAAGTTTATTGAAGGTTACATTTTTCTGTGGTCGCCTGTGGGCTGACGAATATTAAAATAGTAAAACTGCAGACAAATTTAAAGCAAATGAAGAGATGTGATCGTCGTCTATTACCCTGCACCCTTTTTAGAGGTTCCCATAATAAGTTTGAGATGATTAATGGGATAGGAAATAAGATTTAAATAAGAATAAGAGACCATATTTTGATCCCAGAATTCTACTAGAGTGGCTTTGCATGGTTCAAAATATCCCTTATTTCTCCTGCACAGTACATTCACTCTGAAACAAGTAGTTTTAGTCTTTGCCCCTCCCATTTAAGACACCTATCTATCTGCCCCTTGCAGACACAAGGTTTGAGCAGGTAGGTGAGGCGTTTGGCTCACACTCACATGTTCTGATCTTACAGTTTGAAACTGTTACACTGTTACATTTCTGACAGAAATATAAGGGAACTCTTAATGAGTACCCTTTAATCTTGTTCAGGCTCTTAATGTTCCCTGACATTTTCAGTTTCTTTTAAATTATTAAAGGAAAGAACAGATTAGGGAAAACTGCAGGACAAAAACTCACGTCACAGGCAGTTTTGGACACGTCTCCATTTGTAGTCAAGGCTTAATTTCCATATGTCCTAATCCACATTTGCAGCAGTGGCTGCCTTTGATATTCAGGTTCAAGTAAAAGCTGTAGATTTATTGTGCCTGCATGATTAAAGAGGCGAGCTGTCGGTCTCGCTGGAGGCAGCCGCTCTGAGCTGTACATGCTGGACATGTGTTGTGTTTATCAGCCTTCAGCATGAGTGACGTCTCACGGGTGTTTAACAGCTGAAGCTTTCCTCTGAACAGAGCTGGTTGCACCTTCATATCACGTCCTCCCAGAGTCCCTACCCACCTGTTTGCCTCTGACACACATTTACTTTCATGGCTGACTTCAGTGTGAGCTTTTAAATGCTGTCAGGGGCCTCGTCTTTCTTAGCCGCTTTGGAGGCCAATCTGCTTAAGGATATCTGTCCACTCATGCACGTGCTCACAGTTTCCTTTCCTGCTAGTCAGATGGCCTGAAAACACAACATATTACAAATCCATCTTGTGCTCCGGCTACTGTAAGCCACATTGTAGATTTTGCTGACCCATCACATCTGCTCAGTGTGGCCATGTGTGTTTGTTGTGGAGTTAGTTAGGTAGCGCTATCATTTTAATCTGCAGCTTTGCAATGAGGAGGCCCAGCTGGAGCTGCTTACCCGTGCTGGTCACACGCCATATGTTTGCTCAGACGCATGGAAACTGCCGCAATTGCGCTCGCCTCCCTCCACCCCAACCATTCTAACCGGTTGCACAGGCTTATCGTGGCTTTAGCATCTGTGCGGTAAATGTAGGCCATTGATGTTTGCTTGTCTGGCTGGTGGTTTAAACCAGTGAACGCAAGCTGTGACTTTTAGTCGTTTGTGCGCTGTACCGTGATACCATCTCTGCACGTCCACGATGAAGCTGAGGTCCAGGAGTAGAGAAAGAATGGAGACAAAAACAGAGGAAGAGGTAGGAAAATCAAGAGGTTTTATTTCTTGAACTCGGTCTGTGCGCCAGATTTGGTGTCATCTGTAATAAAAGCTGTACAATATAAACAAGTGCAGGAATACTGAAATGGCAGACTCTGAATGTGACGCACAAATCTAGTTTTTCTTTCTAAAAACTAATAATTTTGTTTTACAGGTGAAATTAGATGAGATTGAAATGATTCCAAAGTCCGGAAAATCTCCAGCAGACTCACGGAAATCTGCCGGCATTCATGAGTTTGCAGCGCTTGCCAGATCCTCCTTGAATGGTGATGATCTTTCTAGCACTAGCCTCGTTATCATCTATATGCTGTGAATTTAAACATGAAACCCTGGCCTTTACCTCTCCCCCGTCCAGGTATCTCTCAGGCAGTGAGAGACCACATGACAAAGCCCACCTCGCTGGCTCAGGGCCGGGTCGCTCACCTCATCGAGTGGAAAGGTTGGCCTAAACCTGCAGCTCCTTCACTGGCCGCACACTCCCAGTTCAGCTCCTACTGCAATCTGACTGAAGGGGAGAAGGAGGCTCGTTTTGCTGCAGGTACTGACTTCTTTGACCTTCTGACCTCTCGGCCAGCAGAATGTTTGATATTCAGATTAAAATGCTATTCGAGAACACACATACAGGATAATTAGCTGTAAATTTTTTTGTGTGTGTGTGGGAACATGCATCCTCTCGTCTGGCTTTCTCTCACCTTCTGTCATGCATCTAATGCCCTAAAACTCCTGCATGTTAGCGGTTTGCTCCGCCCACCATCGTGTCTCCTGGGTGACGGCTTGTCTTGGCAGCAGATGGTGGCCTGTTAGATACTCTCCCCAATCACTTCACTGGCCACCAATGTTACAGCAGCTCCTGTTGTTTTGCTGTGACTCATCATCTGTGGCACCAGTGCCATCGGTGTGGATTGATCGAGAGAGAAAGAGAGAGAGAGGCTGACTGATATGCAGCTGCGTATGCCACACAGCGAAGCTCGCGAACTTAAACAATTAGCTGTGTTATGATAATATTAAATTGAATGAAATTATTTTCTGTAATGAATTTTTTGGGTCACTTTAAGTAAAAGCAGAAAACTATGTGTTAGTTTCTTTTTTCAAGCCGTTTGAATAGGTAACCCTGGGAATTCTGATTTGACGCTCTTATTTAAGGCTCATAGTGACACATCGGTGGCAGAGATGACTCAGACAATGTCACACTCAAGTAAATTAGCAAATAATAGGAGGATAGAAATTCACCTTTACTCCTCCCCCCTCCCTTTTGTATTGCCTGGACCATTAACATCCAGAGAAGATTGTTGCTTCCATCTGCAGTAATTTATATTTGTTGTGTTGTGGGACCTCGCTGCACTTTAACATGTGTATGTGAAAGGGCGTAGGCAGAGAGAGGCAGCAAGAATCCTGGTCATGCAAACAACTTAATAGACATGGCATGAAGAGGACCATGGGTTGCAATGTGGCTTGCAGTATGAGTATAAGCTGAGCTATTAGCTGGTCCACGTCATCACTAGAATACTCACTTTGTTTCTGTCCCGTATAAGATGTTGTGAGATAAAGATAAGCAAGATGATTCACTTTTTTTCTCACCGTATTGCAGACAACATTAGTAAATACACAGTTTAGAGTTTGAAATGACATCACAGCCACCTTAATCTAGCTTCATTTGTCGGACCTGTTTTCCTGCTAGGAGTGGCCGAGCAGTTTGCCATCGCGGAGGCTAAGCTACGTGCTTGGGCATCTGTGGATGACGATGATGAGGAAGATTTCAATGATGAAGACTCCCACATCAGCGGACAGACTCACACGGTATCCAGCCAAAACTCAGGTATCCAACTTTGCATCATTCTACATCAAACATCTCATCTTTGCACCCTGTCACCTCATCGGTGAATCCACTTCCCGGTCTTCTGACTCTTTGTTCCTCCTTCAGAAGCCACCATCTACAGTTCCACCTCTGGAGCACCGCCCGGGGTGGACCGCACTGAGACGCCACCATCCGATGGTCCCCTGGGCTCCCACAACAGCAGCCTGCCCTGTGGCAGGCTAGCAACTGAAAATGCCCCACAGTCATCACAAAGCAACTCACCCACTTTGCCCAGCGACTCCATGAGTACGTGCCTGGAGGAGGAGGAGGAGGAGGAAGAGGAGGAGAGGCTGGATAGCCTCGAGGAGCAGCCGGCTCCTTTGCAGGAGCACCGCAGCGAAGTGTGCATCCACAGCAAGCCCGAGTGGAGGCCGAGGTGCAGGAGCAGCAGGTTTGACTCCTGCTACTCCACCTCTCACTCCGAGTCTCCTGGAGAGGAGGACGAGGAAGACGAGGAGGAAGAGGAAGGCAGCGTGTTTCACGAGGTCCGCGTGTGGCACTGCAGCCCCAGGAGCTTTTTCTCTGACCGGGCGTCTTCCGGGGTGGCGTCATTCGATGAGGAAGAAGAAGAGAGAGAAGAAGCAGAAGGAAAAAAAGAGTATTTGATGTGATGTGTCGTCCACCTTTTTGTCCCCTTGAGTCTGTGTTGATTCTGGATATTATGCTTCATCCTTACACCTCTCCTCCTCCTCCTCTTCTCCTTCCTCCTCCACTCATTCTGTCTCCTGTCTCTCATCCTCCAAGCCTTTCATACTGATCTTGCTCCACTGTTTATCGCTGCTGTAAACAGTCAATATGTTGAGAGAGTTCAATCAGAATGTAATGCTGTTGTTCACTAAGTTTTGTACGTTTATTTTTTTTGTGTGTGTGAACAGTCATGTGTTGCTATTGCATTGGTTTTCTATGGATATTTTCTAGTGTTGTTTCCTCTGGGTCACGCTGTGTCACGTGGGTTGGGCTCTGTTTGATATTGAATGCCTGAATGTCTTGCATATATAAATATGAGTTTTTGAAAGAATATACTTTGTTGTTGTTTTATTTTTTCTCCGCAATCCAAAAAGCAAGAAAGAAACACGACTGCTCGTTTACCCTTCAAATGCAGTTTTTTTTCCCTTTAAATTTAATCATTCACTCATGTACAAAAACAAGTTCATGTCCTCTGAAAAATAACAATGGCTGTTGACTGCAAATGCATAATTCTCCTATGTACAATAGCATGTGCGTAACTCTTTCATATATATATACAAAGCATATACAGGCCAGTGCCATATAAAGGGAGATACTACAGACTTATTGCTTAACTAGATACGCTGCAAATGAGCTTATACACTCTCTAAGTTTAACTCCTTTATAATTAATCTTATATGGCAAGCACTACTTCACATTCCTAAATGCAAACAAGAAAAAAAAAGTTAAGACATTAATAAAATCTCTGCACAGATGCCTGCAAGGAGAAAAAAAAAAATACTCAAACCAAAACAAAAAAAAGGGCTGGTTGATGTGCTGCGGTGCTATCACAGGAGACTGAAATATGGCTCAAAATTGTTTCATGAAGCGAAAATACTTACACGTCATTTGAAGGTCGTAACAAGGACTCACACACACGCTTGTAGCTCTACAAGGTTTTTTTTCTCTTTTTGGGGGGGACTTGTGGGTGTCACGGGCTTCAGACAGAAGTTACATTTCTCAACGCTGCATTAGAGGTCAGGCTGGAGTAAATGTCATAAAGACACGTGGTAACATATCGTGATGTTTAATATCTACAGGCCACGTACGGTACGATATATGTGTGTATTATACGTATAAATGTGTGTGTGTGTGTCTGTGTGTGTGTGTTCTCTATACAACAGCCAGTATATTCCTGTAACTCAGAGCCAAAGCGTTGTTCCTTCATCGCTAGACACGAATGTAGAGGCAGTTCAGTCTGCATTGCCCTTATTAAGCCAGACAAGGCTACATGTGCATTAAATTATAGTCATGGTAATTACAATGTGCTTCACTGTTCTTTAGAGCCCTGTACTAAAGCTTGGTGGACATTTGGAAGCTGCCTTTGTCAATGTGTTTATAGTTCCCAGCTCATTGTGGGCTACTGGGGGCTGATGCAACCAGTATTTAATAGCAAAAAAAGAAGAAGAAAAAACCCGCCCAAACCTCATGATATGCTGCAACATGAAGCTCTGACAGGACAGCAGAGTGTTATAAATAATGTAGTCTGAACCTTTACTGCATTGTTAATGTAAATTTATTGCCTATCACCGAAACACATAAAACAACACCGCAATACGTCTTAACATTATGACCCTCGGATATATAAACCCACCGCTAGTGAATAGGTAGTTGTTTGAAGTCATACCATCGTGTGCTCATTAGAAATGTTCTTTGTTTTTCTGTGCTTTCTCTTATTGTTTTGATTTTTCCACTCGCAGTTAATCGTACGTCACTCATTTCTGTCCTTGTAATGTTTGGCATCATGTTTACAGGATGTTGATTTGGCATGAAGACCCAAAAGTTACGAGTCTGATCCAGATTTGAGTGTTGCAAAGAAAGTTGCACTCTCGCACACACACACACACACACACACACACACACACATATATATGCACACATATCACACACACATAAAAGATAAAGCTGGAGGTGGTGTTCTGTGTTTTTGCTGTCAACAAATCCCAGAAAAAAGACCAAACTAACACCATCTTACTTGACAAAAGCAGCCTGTGGTGTTGGAAGTAGGTTAGTGGGTCTGGAAACTTAATGAACCACAGAGTTGTACTGCTGGACGTGATTCTCCATTACAATAGAGGCAGCTGTAGTTTCCACCACACGCTTCCTAATCTATCTATCTATCAGAAATGGTACATAGCTTCTAATACGATTTCTTTATTATTCACTACGTTTTTGTAATGTTATCTAAAAACAAGCTGCGTTAGAAAACCAGTCTTGCTCAGGGGGCTGGGGTGGGGGTGTTCCTCTATTATAGTCAACAGGAGTTATATCCCTCACACACTTCTCTGGCCATGTAAATGTATTTAATCCACGCTAAAAATAATCCTAACAATTAATGCACCGGCGTAACATGATGATATTACAGGATAGCAGTTTATGTGTTTTTTTTAATCAGACTACTGGTTCATGCAGTTAACCTCTGCATGTAGTGTTTGCTACTGTTGAGTTTTATCATTTACCTCATTAAAATTATTTTTACTTGAATTACAACTGGTAATTCATCTTAAATGTGACTAATTAATGATATTTAGTGTCCACTATGTGGACAAAAGCATTGGGCCCCTACACACCACACATACAGGAGCTGCTGGTCTATGGAAACCCATGTCATGTGTCATAGTCCTGGGTGTGACCCAGTGTTTTATATTTAATTTAGATTTCTTGATTATTTGTTATTCATGGTTTCCGTTCTCTTGTGGTTATATTTTGTTGTTCTAGTTTCAGACAGTATGCCCTCCCTGTGTCTGTGTTATGTCTTCTCTGTGCTTTTTTTTTTTCCTGTACCACAGTTCATGCCTCTGTCTCAGCCTCTGTCAAGTCCCTGTCTCTGTGTTATACTTCCTGTTTTACTTTGACAGTCTGTCTTTTGTCATTGTATTCTGCTTTGCTTCCTTTGTCTTGTTAGGCCTGATTACTCCCAGCTGTGCTCTCCTCCTGTGTCTCATTCCCTCGTTATCCCTCTGTGTATATAAGCCCTGTGTTTTCCTTTGCTCTTTCTTGCATCATATCTTCATTATGCTTTGCGTTTCCCCGCCGTCTTTCCAGCCATAAACAAGTTTACAGTTTCTGGTTTGTTTTCTAATTGAAGTTTCTTGCTTCCTGTTTCTAGTTTAGTTTTGTATTTAATGTTAGTTTTTTTTTCCAGGATAAAAGTTGCCATTTTAAGTTTATTTCTCTGTCTTGAGTCCGTCATCCTGCCTGCCACATAGCACATTGTGACACCATGAAGCTCCCAGTGCACAGTTTTTGTGCTGATCTTCCACAGCATGTCTTGATCCTGTTTTCCTTCTTTCACCCCAACCGGTCGCAGCAGATGGCCCCTCCCTGAGCCTGGTTCTGCTGGAGGTTTCTTCCTGTTAAAAGGGAGTTTTTCCTTCCCACTGTCATCAAAGTGCTTACTCATGCTTCCTCACAATCATATAATCCATTGATCCACCCGAGGGATCAATAAAGTTCTATCTTATATAATTATTGGGTTTTTCTCTGTGTGCATTATTGTAGGGTCTCCCTTACAATATAAAGCACCTTGAGGTGACTGTTGTTGTGATTTTGTGCTATATAAATTTGAATTGAATTGAAAAATGTTAATGCTAGAGGAGGACTGGAGCTCTTTGACCTCACTCTGACACTTTGGGACCGAGTTCCTGTGGTTGCTAAACACTTCCACTTTGCAATAAAACCCACTTACAGTTGATTGTGTAATATCCAGGAAGGAAGAAACTTCATGAACCAACTTGCTGCAAAAGTAGCATTCTCGATCAGAGTTAAATGAAACAAAATCTGACTAATACTGTCGTCGTCGGAGCGATTCCTATGACCTGAGGATGGACAGACAGGCGGGTGACAGATGTGATGCCATAGCTAAAATAAATGAATAAATAAAGTACATTTTTGCTCCCTGATGACTTTTACTGTAATGAGGGCTGTCCATAGAGAACAACCTTAGTCCCTACTCTTCCCTACAGTCACATGTACTGACGCTGAGGCATTACATGTGAAAGCACTCTGTATCCCTTAAGCATCATTGTATTTTTGTAAATTGTGTATTTTAATCCAAAGTTGTTGTTTTCTTTGTTTGCTTTTAGCATAAACCAAGTGTTGTTGCCTCAAACCAACAAAACAGACAAAAAAAAGGAAATGTTCAGCCCTAAAGGGAAGTGCAAAAGCAGCAGTCACAGATGAGACTCACCCCCCTTTTTCACGTTTTTTTTTTCCCACAAACCTTCCTAAATCTTTTTTTTTTCTGTGATTTCATCCTTGTCTTCATTGTACTTTGTGCAATAAAATAAGATGAGAAAAAGGATCCTATTGGCATATTGCCATTTTAATGTTTGTGTGCCTGGACTTTAATGATAAGTATGTTTGAATCTTTAAGGGATTTGGGCTAATGCAGTTTAAAGAGAGCAGCTTCAGTGTGAAATAGCACACTGACCAACTCCCCTCAAAACTCAGCTGTGCAGGGACTGAGAGATGGCCTCTGCTCTGCCATCATAGAGATAAAGTGTCTCAAGGAGGGAAACAGATCTCAAAAGGAGCAGACTGGCCTTGTGGAAGATGGGCAAAAGCAGCAAGTGAGACGACTCAGAGAAGAGCTCAAATAAGTTGAGCTCTTTTAAAGCACGAAAAAGAAAAAACAAGTACAAACTCAGTAAAGCTCTTGCTTAGACCCTTGACCACAATCAATTAGACAAGGAGCTGAGAAGGAGTAGACAACCCCAGATAAACACTTGTGATGCTCTAGAAGTGAGCTTCAAAGAGGAGGCGGCAAGCCGTCATGGTTTATGAAGGAGGTAAAAAAGGAGGAGAAGAGAAACACTGATTAAAAGAACTGGAGGAGTGAAAGAGGAGCTAGAGAGAGGCAAGAGAGGAAGATGAGGAGGTCAAACTCATCATCTCCAACTACAACCAGCTGCAAGTTGACAGCTGGATGCACGTATGTGTATAAACTCTTTGTCCAGCAGCTGGCATCTAACAAAAAGGAGCTGAAATAAAGAAAAGAAGAACAAGAAGGGGAGAAAAATTAAAGCCAATGCTACTGGACCATGAATCCAGCTTAACACAGCAGAAAAGACTACAAAGAGCCCTTTCATTCCAACCCCCTGAGCCCTCTAATCAGACTTGGCATTCTTTATGAAGGCCAGCAGGGGGCGACTCCTCTAGTGGCAGCAAGACCACCAGAATAGTGTAGTATAGTGTATAGTCTATGTGAAAGTGACCCTTTCCCAAAGTTTCTGATGACTCTTTGAGTCAATTGCTAGCTACAGATTATCTATAATATAATATGAGACTCTTTTTGTAAAATATGGTCGTTATTAGCTCGGAACGGAGATTATTCAGGGTATGCTCACGGGCACCAATCTGTTACTGAGTGCTGTGTTCTTGGTTTCACATGTATGTATGTTTGTATGTTTGTATGGATGGAGAAACCAGTCTACAAATTGTGGATTCAACTTCATTGTCTTCCGCAGGCGTAGCAGAGCAACATTTTAAAACCAAAAATCCTGATATTTGAATTTTATACCCTGTAAATATTGACTCTTTTGGTCAGAAAGTGCTACTTTTGGTCCTTCCAGGAGATTAGCTGTCAGCATTAAAAACATAAAACAAAACCAGCTTTATCCCTCATATATCTTTCAAGCACTCGCTCACTGTCATACCACGAGTATCTAGGCTGGACTTGGAGGTGAGTGTGACCCCAACAAATGTAAGAAACGTCAACATTCATGAGGCGACAGTGTGGATCTGATCATTCCGACTGATCCTCAGTGTGGCCTGTGCTACCCTCCCCCCCAGGTTCGGATTGGCTGTTGTTTAGAGACGGAGGCGCCTCCTCTTGCTCCATTTCGTCTGGCTCGGGAGTTTGGTTGGAGGGGTCAAAGTCACAGGCCAGCTCCGATTCCTCGGTGTGGGAGGGGCTGCAGTCAAAAGTAAACTCAGACTGATCCTCTGTGAACGAGGGGCTTTCCTGGAGCGGCAGCTCTGACGAGGGATTTGTGATGTCGCCGGGGCTGGCTTCGAACTGCACGTTTGTTTCGTCCGAAAAGTTGACAGGGATCTCTTTGTACTGGAGATCTGGCTGATCCTCCACATTTGGAGGGTTGGGTTCCCGTGGCAAAGAGAGCCCCCTGTGGCGGATGCACAGCTTGTGAAGTTCAGTTACCTCGGATACATTTGTGGTGTTCCCACTGTCACGGAAACTGGCCAGCGGAGGGCGCACTTTCACTCCAGTCACCGTCACTGAGCCTTCGATGGCCTTACGCAGCTGGAGATGCGGTCAGCCCGAAAAAAAAGAAAGACAGGAGGGAGAGCCAAGAAAAGAGGTGAAGAAAGAGGAGAGGTGGAACATATAACATATAAATAAAACAGCTTTCATCAGACAGAATTGCACACCTCTTTGAGAGAAACCACTCCAACCAGTCGTCCCATGCTGGTCACATAGGCGTGGTCCAGACCAAGGAGAGAGAAGATGGTGTGAGTCTGTGGAGGAGGAGAAAAGGTGGGTCATGCCCTGGATACAGACTCAAAGGGAGTTCACATGCATTTTGGATCTGGGTTATAGAAACTGCATCATGTTTCTCCCTTTTCAACATGGACACTGTGTCAGACAAGACGGTGCCCGAGTCATAAAACTGAACCAACTAACCACAGCTCGCTGTGATTTATGATGCATGACAATCACAGGTATTCGGAAAGGAGATTAAGGAATCAAAGCAACAGTCTTCAGGTAAAACCAGGTAAGCTCATGGGTGCTGTGGTTAATTTGGTATAACGCTCCTGACCTTCAAGATAAATGTGTTGGGTTGGACCATTAAAGGGCTGATTTCATGGGAGCAGCAGTTTAGAGTTTGAACTTAGCAATCAGCACACATTCATTCAAAGTGCTTTTCATTATTAAATAATAATAATCTTACTATAATAAGCTCATATACAGTGCACATAGCTGTCTTTGAGAGAGCTCATTTACTACTCAGAAGGTTGGTGGTTCGATCTCTATGTGCCATCTTTGTGCAACGTGTTGATCTCGAAGGGTTCATCTAAGCGTGAATGTTAGCTAGAATGCACTTAAGACAGAAAATAAAGTGCTCGGGTGATTCAGACATGTTACATAAAGCGCTTTGTGTTCGAGCAGAAGAGCACTACACAAGAACCAGCCCATTTACTTATACAATGAAAGTCCAAAAATCCAAAAGAAGAACAATAAGTCTGTATTTTTAATATTAATTTGTTTGCTGTTCATGAGAAGCCGTTTCTGCCTTCTGATTATATACAGTGATATAAGGAAGATGAAAAGAATACATAATAAATGAGCACCATACTGTCTGTGTTTTCATACAAGAGGGAAGAGAACGAGCACATCAAAAACTAGAAACTTAGATTTGTATGGAGCCTTTCAAGAAACAAGAAAAAAAGACTGGGTTCATGGATTTTCTAACATCAGTGTTAGTGACTTGTTCTGCATATTAGTCTGTGACTAAAGGGACCATTTTCATTTTATGAGGCGTAATGAAGAAGGTCGGCCCATAAAAGGCATACCTGATTTAAACTTTATATGCCCGCAAAGGTCATCTTCTCATGCCTGTCCAGACAGCTTCTGGCACAGCTGCTATTTTTAGATCCCTTGAAGACCCATTATGACCACTTGCACGGTTTGCTTTGTTTTATTTAATTTTTTTTATTTTTTATTTATTTTTTTTTATTTTAATTTTAAATTTTTTTTTGCATTTTTTCATTCAGTGTTCTGCACTGTGAAACTGATCCTCCAGTGACCAATGCAAGCTTCTACTATAAAGTCCTGGTGGTGTCAGAGAAAATGTATTCAGCAGAAGTGAGCAGCATTACGACACTTACCACTGTTTGCGCAGAAGAGGAGCGAGACAAAACCAGAAGCTGGCATTAAAGGGTTGTGTTGAGTTCACACTGACGTAATATTTTAAAAGCATCGTGCTAATGCAACTGAAGGAGCATAATGTCTGCACATTTTTTGTGTGTGATTTATAGTTAAAATTTGTATTTTATTTGTGTTGCTAGTTGTTTGTTTATATTGCACCTTATGCAGAGATGTTTGCTCCACCAGCTGGAAGGGTGCCGGATCAATCTTGCAGTTCTTGAAATCCACCGGTTCGTCAAGCTGCTGCTCCTCCCACTCTGTTATCTGCATTAAGGAGGACACTGGAACCTCTAAACTCTGAATTCAAAGAAAGCTCATTTCATATGTTAAATCTTTTGTTAGTGTAGGGCTCACCTCTGAGGGGGTCATGCAGTCTTCCACCTCGGTAGAGTCCTAAAAAGCCAAAATTCAGTTATTCATTCATTGCTTCAACAAACAGATTTATACAAAGTAAATGTTCAAAACCGAACACCTGATTGAAAACCTAGTATACATGTGTTTGCTTCAGTGTAGTATGGTAAAGACACAGGCTGTAAACCAGTGCAGCATTTATATCTACCAGTCTATGAGAATACGAGGCTGAAGGAAAACTTTGGTTTATTGATCTCTGCGCAGCCAGAATCCCGAAAATTACACTGACAACAACAATAAAACTCAGAGAATCAACCACCTTTAAATAAAAAACACACACACAGTCGCACAGACCAGGCATTCAGACCCGAGTGAAAGCTGATGAAACACTGACAGACATTCACACCTCTCTAAAACACACACACTTTCTCTCGCTCTCTCTGCTAAAGCACTCTAATGCTCTGGTTTGTGCACCACAAATATTTTGGTCCAGCACTCACTACGTGTGTGTCGCAAGGCAACGGTTACTAAGCAACAGTCTCTAGGCGGCAGACAATCTTACCGCCATGGAGATCCTCACACGTTTGGGCTTGGGCTTTCTTTTTTCAGAAGGAGCCGGCCCAGCCGGGCTCTTCCAGCCAGGGAGAGAAGCCATCAACACAGCACAACATTAACACAGCGTCAGTGGAAGCGGACAGTTTTTCCCCTTTAACATCGCGCCACTGCAACATTGGAGCCCAGTCTGACTTCTGCTGGGAGAAGTCTTTGTGATGAGAGCACAATGTTGCTGAAAGGGTATAATTACTACACCACAGATGGAGGTGAGGGCACAGAAGCTGTACAAGAAGCCCAACGGTTAATACAATATGATGCACTGCCAGAAAAAAGGAGCTTGAACATCTTATATTTTAGTATTTTAATATCTCGTGTCATCCCTTTAGGAGCTTTGCAGCTGAGAGCTAATGTCTTATTCAATCAGCTTTTTAATGAACAAATGGCTGCTTCTTCAAATGGTTGGATAAAAGAAAAGAAAAGACTTTATCCCATTTTTGTGAGTTTTTGAGACTTACATCATCGCCATCATTTTATTTGGCAAAAAATTGTCAGAAGATTCAATAAAGTTTTTTATTTTCAAAGTAACTTGAATTTTCTGGCAATTATTTCAGGGTTCAGATACTATGGTTACATTTGTCAACACAACCTGCCTATTAGGGCCTACATGAGTGTCAGTCAAGTGTCTCTACAAACGGTTGTGGGGTTTTTTTGTAATACCTGTTCTACATTTCTTTTCTTTGTCCATCCGTGCATCTGTATTTTAAATGTTTATCCGATTTAGTGTCACAGGAAGGCTGGAGCCTACCGTCTTGGTCCGAGCGGAAGGCTACAGTGTGGACAGGCTGCCAGCCTCTAAGGTGAGTAACATAATAACAAAGATATGACACTGAGGTCAGTTTTTTTCCACTTTTTGGGTTTTTTTCTGGGGGCAATGCTAATTTTTGAAATTTTGAAATGTGCAAATCTCATACACCCAAATTTTATTCACAACACAGAAAATACATCAAATGTTTAAATTGAGGAACACTTCCCAAACAGCAAAGAAGAAGCCATATGTGGACATGATCCCAAACTGCTGCTGTCTCCTCTGAACCAAAGCTCATTTAAAATGGACTCAGACAAAGTGGAAAAAAGTGATCATTCGATTTGAAATTGGAAATTATTTTTGGAAGACGTGAACCCAGCTATCAGCTCTCAATTCAAACCTCTGCATTTCTGATGGTATTGAGGTGCCTTAGAGCTGATGTACAACTCGTACATATCAAGGTGTGTACAGATTTTAGAGCAACATCTAGATGAGGGTTTGAGGGAAGGCCTTAAATATTTCAGTAATTCAATGCTCAACTGCATCCTGCATGTATTACAACTTCATAGTAGAAGAGTCTGAGTGCTGAATTGATCTGCCTGATGTCAGACAGTTAAATATGATATAGAAGATGCAGGACTGTTGAGAATCTGGAATCTTCAATCAGACACGAATGGGACAACACTTGTAAAATCGTCCTGCAGCTGATCTCCTCACTTCTCAGATGTTTACAGACTGTTGTTAAAAGAAGAGAGGATGCTGCACAGTGGACAACGTGACTCTGTCCCAACTTTTTTGAGATGTGTTGCTGCCTTCAAATTCAAAATAAACCAATATTTTTATTAAAATGGTAAATTGTCTTAGTTTAAGCCTCTGATATGTTTTTGTTGAGAATAAAATATGGGATTATGAGATTTGCAAATGTTTTGAATAAGGGTTGTAATTCAGCTTTGCTCTATGCTTTAAACTTCCAGGAGCGTGTTCAATATTACTTATTTTGACCAGTCCAAAACCAAAAATGTTTCATTTCCAGAACAGTAGAAACAGCTTGATCCTTTATGTGTGAACCGACTGAAATATTTAAACCCAAAACCATCAGGTTGACACGTTTTATATCTCTGATTGATCTACACCCAATTTTTAAAAAGAATTGCGCATTTGAACAGCGTTTGGCAGCACAGCAGTGGCTGAGGACTGAACTGTGCTGAAAGGTGTTGAAAAGAGATAAGAAACATTTTTTAAACCACACTGCATGACGCCATGACCGCTTTAAATAAAACTAAAAAAAAGAAAAGAAAAAAGAAATGCTAAAATGTAGGATGTTAAAAAAAAACCCGTTTGACCAGCAGTGGATGTGCTGTGCGGTGAGGGTGCAATGATTCATAGACGTTTTATACAAAAAGCTTCGACCACAGCATGAGATTACACAGGAAAACCCTGCTGTCTGTGGGTGGATCCTGCCTGTCAGCAGCAGCAGGAGGACGACGAGGTGGACGATATATGTGAGGACTGAGAGAGCGCACACATCCCCGCTCGTACAGTGCATGTCGCACTCTTAAAGGACACTCGCACTCATGCATCTATAACATCTCTGCTTCTCCTCACCTCCAGCAGCTCCTTGTCTTGGTCAGCACAGGAAAGGGTCTGAGAGCCTCAGAGAGGGGACAAAAAAAAAGGTTTAGTACATTTGAATCTGAACTCTGATCTTTAATTTATTTGTTTTTGTAAAATACATACTGTTTGGCGTCTCTGTGTCACTGATGGCAGACACGGTTTTCAGGGCAGATTTCAGAGGAAGCTGAACATTGGAAACCACTGGGCTGAAGGATGAAGACTCCTCTGTGGAGATCTACACGGAAAATACATTAACGCAGGAAAAAAAGGACAAAAACAAAAACGAGGGAGACACACAAAGGACGAATACACATGCACGTAAACGAACAGGACAGCACAGGTAAGGGCACAGACGACAGAGACACAGAAGACACATTTTAATGTTAAAATACAAATGAAGTACATTCACACAGCTTGTAAGCACTTACCACAACAGCTGTCCAAAAACTCCATCTGTGCCTTTACCTACTGCTACATGCTTCACACATGCTGATCCACTTTTAGTCTACTGCTACAACCCCAACCCAATCCAGACTTCGCCCCAGCCCAGCCCTGGCGCCCCCGGACGCCTCACACCTGTTGAGTGCTCACCAAGAAGCGGACCGCTTGGCGAGCACTGGAATTGGTCGAGGAGTTGAGGTGGGTGTGGGTGCAGGGAGAGCTGGGGGTGCTGTCACTGGTAAGACTGGGCAGGTGATCGTGCGTGCCGTTGTCCTGCGCCAGCTGGCGGAGGTACTCCAGCCTCCTCTGGCGTGACAGCTGAAGCGAAAGCAGCGACTGGAGCTGCAAACGCTCTATGGAGCCCAGCAGGATCATGGAGTCTGAGGGAGAAGGAAGGGCACGGGAGAGGCAATGGCAAGGGAGGAGTAAAATTATTAGTTAGGGGCTGTGAAAACAAACAAAAAAAGCACATATTAAAAAGAAAATCAGACAAGAGAGGTCGGTATCGTCTGGGACTTTTTAGTGCTGTAGTACTGCTGATGTGAGTTGCCTCTGGCTTAGAATAAGTCATAACTTTGTGCTGAATGCATTGACATGTCTCTTAATGGGACCTTGTAATTAATTAGGAGGCACAAGCACAGTGATGAGCTCATACCCATACTGTGTATGCTCTTACCTCTGGATTCAACCAGGGCCAGCGTTTTGAGCTGACCTGTCATTAACATCTCTTGCAGATCCCGATAGGAAGAGTTAAGAGTGATGTAGCGCACATCTCTGACCATGATGTCCTCCACACGGATATTATACTTCCTGAAACATGGAGGAGAAGATAGAGGTTAATGAGACACCTGCAAACATAAGGGAAGGAAATGAACGGGAAGATAAGCGAAAGGAAGATGAAGAGGAAATGGAATAAAAAAAGTGAAAAAAGGTGCAGAATCACTGCAAAAGAGGAAAGCAGCATCAGCATCAGCAGACTCACTCATGATGTCCCATCCCCAGCTCAGGCAGATAAGGGAGCTTCTTGATGCGAATGATGGAGTCGTACAGCGATGGTTGGAGCGCCTGGGCCACGGCGTTGGCCAGGATCACAGCGATCATCACAGGCAGGATGTGTGAGATCTGACCGGTCAGCTCGAACACTATGACCGCTGTGGATACAGTGTGGGTGACCGCTCCAGACAGAGCAGCAGCACCTGTGAATGAAGGGAAAATCTTTTATATCTGTCAGTCTCCTTGAAGCCATTTACATGGAGCAAAATGGCAAAGATGGAGTGTCTGATCCACAGAAAAAGTTTAAATTTACATGTATATACAGAATATAAGGCAAAATCTGAGTTTATACAATTCTAATGAGAGTCAATTGTAATAATGAGTCAACATTTTGTGTGAACACCTTTATTCTTCATCATAGCCTGAACTCTCTTAGGCAAGCCTTTTGTAATTTTTAAAACAGGAACAGCTTTTAAGGCTTCCTGAAGGGCATTTAAAGCTCTTCTTTGAATGTTGGCTGCCTTTTATTTTGCTCTCTGTCAAGATGATCTCACACCATTTCTACAATGTTGAGTTCTACTGTGTGTTTTTCCATCAGGTATGATTTTATTGTACTGGCAGTGTGTTTGGGATCGTTTTCATACTAAAAAAATAAACCTGTCAGACGCAGCACTAAATCATGACAGTGCCTCCAGATGGCTTCAGACACACTGTGTTGTATCACTTTCCTGACTTTCACCATACATATATTCAAATCTGGGTTCATCACTCCATAACACCTGATTTTTTTTAGTAAAGTTGCTCTGTAATTTTGCATACCTCAGCCTTTTCTCTCCATTTCCTTTCCTCAAGAATGGCTACTTGACAGCCATCCTTCCACTGAGACCATTTCTAATGAGCCTTCAGTGAACAGCAGATGGATCACCCAAAGAGTCAGATGCATCTCTCAGGTCCTGTGACAGATGTTTGCTGGATCTTTTCCTATTTTCAGAGACTGTTCATCTGCTGTAGATTTTTTTGTGCCTGCCACTACTTCCCTTTTTTCTCAACTTGTCCAGCTTCCTTTTATGGACACACTTATGGTGAGATATGCCAAATTTTCAGGCAATAGCTCTTTGGGAATCACCCTGTTTGAGCAAAATTACTATGCTATAGCTATCAAACGCAGTTAGTTTGGGAATTTATCACGGAACTAAATAAACTAACTAAAAAAATTGTTTTTTTCTTGTTTTCCTAGTAATAAAATGCCTATAGAGACAATTTAAATTTGATTCTTTGATAAATTGTCTGTTACCTTTAGACAGAAAATGAGTTCATTCATTGAGTTAGCTACTTTGTTTAACGCTTGAATGAATCATAGGTCAATGTTAAGCGAAAAAACAACCCCAAAACAATCCTCACAGTCAGGTACAAGGACTGGACTGAAAGTGAGGGTAAAAGCCGAAATCCAAAGAAAAACAGAAACTTGGAGAACTATTGCTCAAGACAACTTTTTTAAAAAAATGGCATAAAAGTCTGGCTGCTGGGAAGTGAAACGTAAAGAAATGATGGGTGGCTTAAAACTTTTGCTCAGTACTGCTAATTGTACAAAAATTTAAACAGCAAATTGAAACACTCAGCAATTAATCTTTCTGCTGCTCTCCCCAACACTGGCTTTGTACGTCCCAGAACAGAGTCATAGTACAAGTAATATTAGAAACAATCTTCTGACCAAACTGATAAAGTAGTAAAAACAGTGACGACTTTTCCAGCTGTGATACATTCTAATACTACAGGATCCCCACAAAAAGAAACTATGTAATTAATCTAATTAAATCTCAAAACAAAACATCGATATAGAAATAGAGTCACTCACCAACTACAGCATAACCACCAGGAACTATGGGATACACGCTGCCTGCAGCATGTATACCATCAGGAAACATTGTTGCCATGATCTCACCAACAAGTCTGCCAAAGGCTGCACCTGCACACCAACACAGCAAGAACTTATTAGTTTAAGGTTCACCAGGGCAGTGGAAATCATTTAAAAAAGAGAAAGAAGTTTAATTCACCAATAAGAAAAACAGGCATGAAGGCTCCGCATGGAACGGGCATGGTGGTGGCCACAGCAGACATCCAGAACTGAAAGAGGGAGACAGAGTTTTACAGACTAAACCATCTCTGAAACTCTTACAAGGCACCAAGATTAGACATACAGATGGAGTCTTGAAATACTATCATTAATTATGAAAAGAGAAAACAGTCCCACATCTGATTGTCTGACCCTCCCAGAGCCCTGATATTATCACAGAGTGAGTTTGGGATTAGACGAAGAGGCAGGAGACACTGACCTCTGCCAAGCTCTCAATGACACTAAAGGTAATCGACAAGAACTACTTGTCACAGTAAGTTTGAAAGCGTCGCCGGTTTGATTTCAGTGCATAAAAGCCTTTCACGTCGCCTACCTTCATAACAGTGAAGAGGATAAGCGTGATGAAGACGTTGACCTGGGGGTGTTTCCAGGCATGGTGGTGGCTGATGTAGTCAAACTCCTCCGCCACACCCTGACGGCACCATGTCCGATTGTCAAACAGCGCCACTAGAGACTCGTGCTGCGTCAGCTGACAGATCGACACACGGAAACGCAAACACACACAGACATACCCAAAAAAGAAGCATCCTGAATCTGAATATCTGTTTTGGCTCTCTAACGTCAGAAGGATCTGTTTAGGAGACTCTAGCAGTCTGACAAGGTCAGCCACAAAGGCTCTGTTCGAATATAAGTCCCCTGGAAAAAGAAACGTTCAGTAACCAGGGGTCCAATTACATTACATTACTATTTGCTCTCTGTCTTAGAAAGGGCTATTTCCACCCACACAGTTCTTTCTATATTGATATAAACCTACTCATAGTACACTGGAGACTTGGCACTTGAAAGTAGTTTTGATTTTTTTCTTTCAAATTTAGGCACAAAAACTGTAGAAGAAATTATGTAGCTGTTTAAAAATTCATCTTGCAGGCTTTAAAACTGTAATCTGTAGCAATTAATTGACTGACTACTTTTGATAACTATGACACATCTCTTGAAACACTCCATCCATCCACCGCTTAGCCAACTTAGGGTTGCGGGGAGGCATCAGAGTCTATCCCAGCAGGACACACAGGTCGCCAGCCCATCACGAGGATAACACAGAGAGACAGACAACAACACACTCTCGCATTCACACCTCCTGCTTATTTAGAATCACTAGCTAACCTAACAGGCATGTCTTTGAGCCCTGGTAGGAAACCCACACAGACACAGGGAGAACATGCAAACTCCACACAGGAAGGTCCGAACCCAGTGTCTACTGGCTGCGAGGAGACGGTGTTGATCAATTTTGCTCCGTCATGTGTAAGCTTTGACATCTGTGCTTTAAATGTGCCAAATTACACCAAAGATTACACTTTTTTTCCCTTTTACACACAAAATCATCTCAATAGACTGAGAAGTAACCACAAAACTGACTCAAGAGCAGTTTCATGGCCAAGTGCTGACCGTTTTTGTCATTTTTTTATGAGGAAGGATTTTAAGGAGATTAAAGTTCTCAATGTTATTCAAAGTGCTGTGATTACATTTAGCAGCTGTTTATGGAAGCTGCACAAATGTTAGGATAGACATCCAGGTAAAAAGTCCTCCCACACAAATTCAACAGCTCTGCATATAGAAGAGTGGTGATAGCTGTTTGGCGACTGCCAATTAGGATTAGATGTGTAACTGCTCTGCAAAATAAATGCGTGAATTGATCTGACATGACTGAATTATGAACTATTATCAGCTCTGTTTAAACTGCATACAATTGTGTGTACTTTACAGTATAAGAGAGCACATATTTGTCCCATAGTGGGTTCTCTTCATTGGCTCCCTTTTAAATCCAGAATCAATTCTAACGTCCTTCTTCTCAAAAGATCCTGAATAATCAGGCCTATCTTATCTTAGAGATGTCCTATTACAATATCACCGTAAAAAAGCACTTCAGTCTCAGACAGTGGGCTTACTTGTGGCCCCTAGGATGTTTAAAAGTACAATGGGAGGTGAAACCAGCTCCCAGTTTGGATTCAGGAGACAGACACCCTCTCTACTTTTATGATTAAGCTCAAAACTGTTGTTTTTAAAAAAGCAGATCGTTAGGCGTATGGCGACCCCGAATCCTCTCTTAGTTATGCTGCAATAGGCCTAGCCTGCTGGGGCTTCCCATGATGGACCTAGTGCTTCTTCTTCATCTCTTTTTACTCACTATGTGTTTATACATCACTTTGTATTTAATAATTATTTAATAATAATAATAATAATATGTGACTTCTACAGTGTGTCTTTTTTCCTGTCGTTCTCCTATCTCTTCCTGTAGAAAGATAGTTTTTCCTTCCCACTGTTGCAAAGTGCTTGCTCGTAGGGGGTCTTCTGATTGTTGGGATTGTTACTTTACAATATGAAGCGCCTTGAGGCAACTTTTGTTGTGATTTGGTGCAATAAAAATGAAATAGAATTGAACTGACAGCTGCTTTTAATACTGAAGAAAAGTTCTGGAGCATCCCCACTCCACTCCCAGATACAGAGTTACACTGCTGAAATAAAAAAAAAAAATTATATATAAATAAAAATTAAGATCTTGCTGCAGTCTTCCTTTTCTGATTCCCAGTGATTAGACTACATCTGTCCCCGTGCTTTGGGAATAGCCTTTAAGCCCTCTTGAAGCCTTTATGTAGGCTTCATTTAAAATGACCATCAATCATCTCACAACAGTCATCGCATGCTTCCATACTGTCAAAGGAGTGTGAAAGTATTTTTTCACCTGTCCAGCCATGAACTGTCCGAAGCCCGGAGGGAACGTGAGTGTGGAGATCAGCAGGGTGACAAGCGCAGGATACACCAGACGCCTGACAGGAAGAGATGGACTGTGGGGTCATTAATGAGTGTGCTTGACACACTGTATGTGCATACCTAGTTTCTTGGTGGTGTGGAAAGAGAGAGATAGTGTATAAATAGCTCCCGATGACGTGTGTGAAACCGACCCAATTCATACAAGAGATTTACCTACATTTCCCAGGACTACATTAGCTTTGTGACATAGAGTGTGAGGCCAATTTTAAATAGAAGCATAGGAGCACATGGGCAGGATGTTCATGATCCTTGTGTTTAGTTAGAGTTTAACCAGCTAAAATGTGTCAGTGTGTGTGGTTGTGTTTTTAGATGTGTCTTTGATATCTGACATATGCTTATTGGTTTTAAGGCAGAGTAAGATGAGAAGATCATAATACTGTTATTATTTCAGTTTGTTAAATATGAAGTTAAAGCCAACAGATGATAGCTTAACTGAGTATAAAGACTGGAAACTATAGAGTATAATTATATACATATGACGGACAGAACAGTCCAGTCTGAAAATAAAAAAACAACACAAAGTGCTTTTCCCCCCTATTTCCCACAGAGGGTTGTAAAAAAGACTAGTGGAAAATTAAGCTTGTAGTAAAATGCCTAATGAATTTATGATTTCAGTCACTAGTTTATGTCCTCTTGAATACAACATGATACTCATTTTATAGCTTCCCAGTTCCCACAGATGGTGACACCCAAAAATGCTCAGCTTGAGGCTTCCAAATGAGCCGACACTTGCCATGTCCATCTTTTACATACAGTCTATGTTGGAAACAGCTAGCCTTGCACTCAAAGCTCCTAGATTTACAAGCTTTGTCTTTATTTGGCTCCTTTGTACACAAGTCAAAACATCAACCTGAAAAGTTGCTGTTTTACAATAAGTTATTTGAAAGACTTTCTTCATATGCTGTAAAACTTTAGTTTTGTATGGATAAAAGTGAAAATAGTTGAGCGGGAAGAATGATACTTTGAGGAGATGATGAAGAAAATGAGAGTGATGAGGACGGATGGAGGAAAGGTAGTGAATTAGGAAGTGCAGAGACCAATAAAGATGAACTGACAGCAGCTTTGAAGAAGATGAAGCACGGCACTCTGGGACTATGGAGATGTCTAGAAGAGAGGGTAGTGGACCTTTTAACCAGATAAGGAGATTAAGTGTACTGGTACCTTCGTGAACAAGCAGGATGTGCAGAGCTATAGTAACTACAGTGGGAAAAAGTTGATGAGGCATACCATGAAGGTATGGCTAGGCTGAGAAGAGAGGTGACGATCAATGAGCAGCAGTATGAATTCATACAGATCCAGTGTTTGCTTTGAGGAGGTAACAGGGAATTGCACTGTGTCTTTGTGGAGTGGGAGAAAAGTATGTGAGGGTGGTGTAGGACATGTATGAGGAGGTGGGGGTGGGATTACACCGGGGATCTCCTCTGATGCCCTTCTTGTTTGCAGTGATGTTGGATAGGTTGACAGATGAGGTCAGGCAGGACTTTCTGTGAACTCTGATGTTTGCAGATGACATTGTGTTCTGTAGTGAGAGTAAGAAGCAGGCGGAAAACTCTGGATAGGTGGAGGTATGCTCCGTAGAGAAGAGGAATGAAAGTCAGTAGAAGTAAGACAGAATATACGTATGTAGATGAGAGGGAGGCAGATGTAACTTGTGTAGCAGTGAAGCATAAGTAGTGAAGGTGGAGTTGAAATACCTGGGGTCAGCCATTCAAAGCAAAGGACTGCACACAAGAGAGACAAAGATGAGAGTGCAGGCCGGGTGGAGAGGGTGGAGATGAGTTTCAGGGGTGATTTGTGACAGAAGAACAGCAGCAAGAGTTAAAGAAAAGCTTTACAAGATGGTAGTGAGACCTGATAAAAAGACAGGGGGCTGAGCTGGAGGTGGCAGAGCTGGGAGTGAGCAGGATGGACAGAATTAGAAATGTATAAATCAGTGGTTTGGAGACAAAGTTAGAGAGCCAAGGCTGAGATTGTTTGGACATGTGCAGATGAGGGACAGTAGACATGTCTGGTAAAGAATTCATGGATGTGGCGAAGGAGGACATTCAGAGGGTTAGTGTGTGACAGGATGCTAAGTGCAGGGTGAGATGGAAGAAGATGAAGTGCTTTAGAGCCTCATAAAGGGACCAGCTGAAAGAAGATGGATGAGGGAGAAAGTGTGTGTACAACTCACAGCAGGTTTGTGAGTTTGTGAGACAGTTTGTGCCTCAGAGTAAGAGCATGAAAAAAACAATGTTATACATTAGTCAGCTTTAGATGAGTTGGTTAGCTAGTTTCAGTACCCTGTGAAAGATCCACAGTCATTGTTTCCAGTCTCAGTTTAAGCTAGCTTTCTGCTAGCAGTTGCAGTATTAATCGTTTCATCAAACTCTGTGAGTAATTTCCAAATATGTCAAACTGTTCCTTTAAGCTGGGCAAGGGGACGTTGGGTCTATGAATCTACAAATGTTTAATGATTTTGTGTAAGACTGGGATGAGATACTTACTTCCTCAGCAAGAACTTGTTAATTGTCTTCTGCTTCCTCATGCACTCGACTATCAGCCGGTTCAGGTAGACAAACAGAGCTCCCCCAAAACCACACGCAATCCTACACACACACACACAGACACGGCTTGTTTGGCCTGTTGAAGGTAAAACAGAACAGCATTGTGGTGCAAAACAAAAGCAGCCACATGGAAAAAGAATTACCACAAATGAAACAAAGCTACAGTTTTGCTATGCCTGGTTAAGTCAGTCACAGTTGGAAGCTCTTTTCAAGGAAGCCAACCGATGTTAATTCATCGTTTCTCTCCATGAAGATACATCAAACAAATCACATTTGGCACGTTCTGATCTGGACCGAGCCTCGGCTTGTAATCAGCAGAGTAAAAAGTTAATTTCATGCCCCGTTCATCGAATACAAATCAACCTTCAGACTCTTAAAAGACTTGGGAGAACGGCAGAAAAGGAGCTCAGATCTCCTCAGTAACAGAAGCTGCTTGGGGATCAGGGCTCCGTTTAATGTGGCGCCAGTCCAGAGAAACACACTCACCCCAGTATGGCAAAGGCTGGCAGCTCCTGAAGGTCAAACGGGAAGTCCAGACGGAAACGGGTCTTAAAGAGAGCAGTGATGGTCTCTGAGAAAAAGAAGACTGTTCTCACTCTGCTATACAGCAATCTGTTATGAATGAAAACTGGCTTTTAAACTGAACCACTAAAGACAACCACTTACCTCATCACGACTCTTAAAGATATACTTATATATACTGAATTACATTTTATATAGAGTCTCATTAAAGTAGCCACCATGTTAGGTACACCTAGTAACTTGTTAAATTGAATTGGAAAGGGGTTCCCTTTTCGATTAAGTTCACCCTTTTATATGAAAGAGATCCACTTTGGCCTTCAGAAATGCATTAATTCTTAATGGCAGAGATTTAACAAGGTGCTGGAAACACTTCTCATGACATGATAGCATCACACAGTAGCTGTGGATTTGTCAGCTACACATCCTGATCATGTCCTGATGATCCTGATCCATCATGATGTGAATCCCCTGTTTCACCACATCCCAAAGGAGGCCATCTGAGTATAATGAACTTAGTGTCATGTTCAGGGACAATAATTTTGAGATGATTTGAGTTTTGTGACATGGTGGAAATGATCAGCAACAATGTTCAGGTCGGCCGTGGTGTCGTGCGCAAAGACAGTAGAGAAAAGACTATTACACTACCACCACCAGCCTCAATCACTGATAAAAGGCAGGATGGAGCCATACTTCCATGTTGTCCATGCTGAATTCTAACCCTATGATTTGAAGGTCACATCAGAAATTTAGATAAATCAGACTAGACAACATTTATCCAATCCTCTATTGTCCAGTTTTGGTGAGCCTGAGTAAATCGTAGCCTCAGTTTCCAGTTCTTAGCTGACAGAAGCAGCACCTGGTGTGGTCTTCTGCTGCTTCAGCGCTCTCTTTCAATGACTGACATGATGTAAATTTCCGAGATGCTCTTCTGTATGTCTTGGCTGTAATAAGTATTTGTTGGGGTTTCTGTTGCTTTCCTGTCAGCTTGAAGCATTCAGGCCGTTCTCCTTTGACCTTTGACATCAACAAGGCATTTTCGCCCACAGAACTGCCTCTCACTAGATATTTTTTTGCTTTTTCAGACCATTTTCTGTAAACCCTAGAGGTAGTTGTGTGGATTGTGTAGATCAGCAGTTTCTGAAGTACTCTGAGCATCAGTCTGGAACTGACAAACATGCAACATTTAAAGTTGTTTAAATCACCTTTCTTCCCCATTCTGATGCTCCAGCAGGTCGTCTTGACCATGTTTAGATACCTAAATGCACTGAGTAGCTTCCACGTGACTGGCTGATTAGATTTATTTTAACGAGCAGTTGAATAGATGTACCTAATGAAAGGGTCGGTGAGTTTAAATTAACTCGTTTAATTGCATATTATGATATTTTTCTTGAAACAGAACTGGAAGAGTCTGTTTCTGTTTTGTACTTTACCTTCCTCCTGATTCCAGACAGCAAGCACTCTGAATATGAAGGCGCTGAAGGTGGCAGCGAAGAAGCCCCTCCAGTAGTTCCTCACAGCAAAAAATGTTGACGTGACCTCAATACTGAACAGCACCCCTGCAACGCACAAACATACATACAGAGAGTGAGCCGTTCCCAGAGCCCAACTGCAGTCAAGAAAGCAGCAAATTCTCAACTTTATTTTAATATCAGATATTCTAGCAAAGAGCTATTCTCAGGCTTTCACCTTATAATTATTTAACTATCAGATGATCTCTAAAAATCGTGACCTTCCTTAACTGATTCATGTAGTCTATAACATTTTAGAAAAACACAAAAATACCACAGTAGCTGCATATTTAGCTTCAGTGACTCAGTGAATCAATTAAATACTTCAGCTCTGATCATCACGGCTATAATCTTTTGTTATTTTCTCATGGATTTTCAGCATTTTGCAAAAAACCCAACAAAGATTTCTAACTCGCAGGACCTGTTTGTTTGCTTGTTTGGAAATGCCACACAGCTACATGAATCGTGTCTCGGTGAATGTGCAGTACATACTGTACTGTTGTCAGTATGAGTTTGTCTAGTCGTTCTAAATAAATGAGACAGGGTGTCAATCACGCCCCAAAAACAAGTTCCTCTTGTCGCTTGTGGCCACAAGCATCCATTCTATATGGCTCAAATGATGCAGACGAGAAGACATTGATCAAAATAATTATAACTTAAGGTCCTCTTTACAGCTTTTATTAGTCTTGTCATTGTCATTAAGCATAGATTAAAATGCTAAAGAACACATCACTCTATTCAAACCGCTGTGAAAGAATTGGCACCTTTATTTAGCAAGCAAATTTCAAACACAGAAGTGAATTCATACGACAATTAAAACCTTCTGAACAACCCGACTCATGAAGAACGTCAATTAAGAAAGAAGAAAATAAGGTCTAACAAAAAATCTTATAATGAAACAGAAGATGGAAATTCACCCTAATAATCAACAATTAGAGCAAAGGTCGAGAAGTACTTGAAGTTCTCAGGGGAAAAAAATGGAAATTTTAGCATTTGCATAAGTGGGCGAGTCCATCTGTTGAAGAAGATGGTAAGATGCAGTCGAATGCAGAACAACCACCGAGTGATACCAAGTATGATTCATCATGTGAGCATCCACGGAAAACCACTTTAATCTGAGGATTTTAACATGGCTCTAATGTGGATGATTATGATCTTCACCCTTGAGAAAACATAATCCTAATCCCCGCTGCACCACAAGTATCAACAGCCAACAGTTAAACAGGACCACTAAGACACAACGTCATCCATTTAAAGACATAAATCTAATAATCACTCTTTTTTAACCCATGTTGATCCCTATCAGCTCCTGCAGAGCAGAAGCTCCTCAGCTGCTCAAAGTCGCCAAAAGCACCACAAATTTGAGAATTATCTGCATGTTTAACGCTAAGTACAACAATTCCTCACTGTTTTCATGTTATAGTTTGGTGCATTAGTATTATAAAATATCATTTAGATCACTTTCAAAGTAATTTAAAGAGTTAATCAAGTAAAAAGTTGATAACAATGCTCAAAAGGTTATCTAAAGTTACAGGAAACATTAACATTCATGGACACATGAGCATTTGGCAGCTGACAGAGTTTGCTTCTCTGAATGAAAAGCAGTTTTTAAAGTTTTAATGTAGTTTCACATGGGATTGTATATTAAACAAGTTCAGATTTACATTTGAACTTGAAGCCAACTTAATTTATCAGTATGAGGAAGGTTTAGTCTGCTAAAACGGTGAGAACGGAAGAGCTGAAGGTGTTAAAACTTCAGCAGTGCTGACTTCACTGTTAGAGCTGTGGCGGTCTATCAAAATAAATATGTTGCCGACAGCAGTTAAAGAGGATTGGTATTAAGTAGAAAAAAGAAAAACAAAATAAGTGATCATTCAAATACACATATAAAGCCAAAGAGGCATAGATACAGTAGGTTGGGTCATATAGTCATGTGGGTTTAAGCCCATCAATCAATCAATCAATCAATCAATCAATCAATCAATCAATCAATCAAAGTGGAGCGCCTAAAAGAAGACGTGTGTACCCTCAGGACCAAATATGGTGTTACACATATCTTAATCTATATGTGGCTGTATAAGATGGGTTGTTTTGTGGTTACAACCCAATTTAAAATGCTGTGTGTAATATGGTTAATTGGGATCCCGGAGAAGGCCAGAACATGTCAGTCTACCAATTAAGTTCTCCTAACTAAATGACAAATAGAGCAAAGTTTCCGGCTCAACTTCACCCAATTAAGGAGCGCGTGAAGGAGAGGAAAAGGTCTGAAGAGGTTAAAACTCCAGCAAAGCTTGAAAAGAGCATTTGAAGAGGAGTGTTTGCAGACTTTTTTTTAGCTAGAAACAGTGTATGCCATACACTCACTCCACTCTGTAAAAAAACAGTACAGTTCAAAGAAATCATTAAAAGGCCAAAATTGGCATGACTGTCATAGCCTTTTTTTTGCTTTTTTTTGGAAATCGAATTTCCCAGAGGAACCCACCCGAGGGATTAATAAAGTTCTATCTTATCTTATCTCTTAGCCATGATGAGTATGTGTAAATGTCTGACCACAACTGTATTAATAAATATTTTAACCCCATGGCATGTTCACGTGTAGCCTAAAAAACATGCATTTTGACATCAAGCATTAAAAGAAAAGTGCTAAAGCTGGAGAGAAGAGTTGGGCTTGTTATGTGCTCCTGTATCATAGGATGACATAAGCTGTTAACGAATGAAATGCGCAATATTCCTTCCTATGGACAGCCATTAGACTGAGAGTCAGACTTTGAGAACCTTGGATTTAGACAAATATACTGACTAAGACTGGCATCTTCGGCTGCTAGTGGGGTAAATATTCTCTTCATCTAATTAGCTCCTGTAAATGTCTCGCATAATTAAATCCAGTTCAATCAGAGGCTACAGTCGTGTTGACTTACCTCCAATAGGAGCAGCAAAGCAGCAGCCCACACCCACCGCACAGGCAGCCGACAGCATCTCCGTGTTCCTCAACTCATTCTGTCCAACAAGGGTCAGATACACGCACATACCAATACACGCAGAGCAGTGCATTCAAGCAAATACACACACATTCAAATCCCAAGAGGTGCACGTTTATTTGCAAATGCCACAAACGTACATCCATATTTTACAAACGCAGCAGTTTGACTGCAAAGCTGCTGTTTGCACACATTCGACGAGATTACTTATATATGATTGGAGTTTGATGGGAGGCTATAACTGAAAAACCATGATTGAGGGTTGAAATCATGAAATGAGATGTTTGTGTCGAAGCAAAAGCAACACAGAATGATGCCTCTCTGCGATGGTTCACTGAACAGAATCTAACACAGCGCAGACAAATGGAAAGACATCAATCTGTCTCAGCTCTCAAATGGACAGCTTGAATTAATGTTGATGGGATTGGAAATAAAGAAACTATCCGAGTCATGCATTCGTACCTTGCTTCCTTCAAAGGGCTCTTCCTTTAGCAGTAAAAGTGAAAAGAGGACAGACATGTGTGAGTGTAGTGGTTACCTTTTTTTAAATGTATGTTTTTTTTATCTTCCTCCTGGAAGACATCCAAGTTATTATTCAAAGCAAGCAGACCCAAACAAGCAGCGAATGAGCTTCAGCAAACAATCCTGATTTTACTGTGAACTGAATTAACATTTTCCCAGACTGATTAGGTTTAGTGGTCCCTGCACTATTTGAGTCGTTCTAACTGTGCTGACACGTGTTTTTCTTCCTTCACATCACTGCAGCCTATCTTCCTCCACGCTGATGTGGCTGTTGATGCAAGGAGGAGAGGCACATCACAGTATCCAGTGGAGAAATAGACAGAAGCTCAGGGTGAAGTCTCACATGAGTGGAGGTGAGAGTCCGTCCTGGGGAACGGCAGAAAGTCGAAGAAATGTCAAAGATTTTTCAAATAAAAACTGCATGTGCGTGTGTTATTCGCCCTTCACAGTGATTATACTCAAATAAGGAGGAAGGTGATAAATCATGAAATTACAGGCTTAAGGATTTACATGATTTATTCCACATTTGCTTTTATTTGCCTCCCACTTGTGTGAGTTAACGTGTATGTGCACATATCAGTGGCACTCTCAGCAAAGCGTGGTACACACTCACATGTAAGCTCTTCGTTTGCTGGTTTGAGTTTACACACAGAAATGATAAAGTAGTTTAGCTCAGTTTAGCTTTAGGCTCATTCTCGGGGACTTGGTATTGGATCAGCGCAATACTTTGTTGCATCTTGTAACTATGTAACCCACCGACTTGTGTTATATAAATGATTTTTTTTAGAAATGAAAAAATACACCTCAAACATGCACTATGAAAATGTCTGAACCTTTTATGTTCACTGTCATTACCATTTGATTTATAGCCTATAACACATTTAAACAATAGAAGTTGACCTTCAATGACAGGCACGTTTACAGTCCAGGTTTCCAAAAAAAAAGTTCCAACATACATGAAAATCTGACTGGTCTGTTTTATTGTGTTAGTTAATTACTGAAGAAAATAAAAGTCACAGTGATTTAGCTAGCATCGCACAGGTACTACTAAGAACCCCCCCACCACTTTTTTTTTTTTACTTCTCGTTCATGTTAAGCCACTACTAAAGATCATTAACTTGTGTTTTCTTTTTTTCGTAGTTTGTAATATCATCTGCTGCCCTTTCCTCAACCTGATTCTGCTGCAGGTCTCTTCCTCTTATCGGGGAGTTCTTCCTTCCCACCATTCCCAACCAATCTTATATCTTATAGTCTTTACCTTACAATTGAAAGTGGCTTAATATGACTGTTGTTATAAGTTAAAACTATATAAATAAAACTAAATATGAATTAATCCTTACTTCACTTTCTAATGTGTAATTTAACGAGTTCATTTGTAACTCATTATGCCCCTCTGAAACCCCTGCTGGTCTTGAAGTAGCAGTGTGATAAGGTGAGGGAGGGCCACCACTTCTTGTGAGAAGTTATCGAGCTCTCGTTATGCACTAAAACGTTTAACTTAGTTAAACTAGCACCCTTTAGACTCCCTGCCTTCAAATTATGCTTCATCACTTCATCCAGGTCTCTCTTGGAAATGAGATTTTTTACCTGGATAAATAAAGGATTAATAAATCCAACACATTTCAAAAGGTGCAACTTTTACTCAACTAGTGGCAAAAGCAATCACAAGGAGGGTTTTGGTGCAGCACTCTCTTTGCTACAGATAGTACCCTAGCCAATGCCTGCAACCACATCACGACCAACCAGGAAATACGCATTTTTCCCTAGCGACTGGAGGTTGCCAGGGGGGGTCACTGACTGGTCTTTGGCAGCAATGACCTGTAGTGACCCTTCATACAGTTTAGACCAGTGACAGTTATCTTTACAATGAATCTGTTGTTGTAGTGCTTCTGATAGTAATGTAAGGAAGTGGCTCTTTCACTTTTCCCCACTCATAAATTTGGGGAAACAAACACTCCCCAATATTGAGGCTAAAGTTAGGATCTAAACAGATCTCACTACAAATATCAGCATGTGTGACTCTGCAGCTGAATGTGAGCACAAAAGGGGTCAAATTAACAACTAGTGATGATGATTGATGAATAGAAGACAGAAATACATTTCAAATTTTTCACACCAATTTTTCAAGCTTTTTTAAAAATTATTGTAAAGAGCCAAAAACAGCTTTCCTGTTTAATTAAAATCAGAGGCTCAATCTGACTGAAAACATTTGTGGACTTGACCTGCAGACATACGAGAACTCATAAATTAGATTTTATCACAGACGATAATATGACACTTTTTATAGAAGTAAGCGGAAAGCCCTCAAACACAGTGCTGTGCTGCAGTCTGCTGGGACATCTGCATATCAGTTGTTCTCCATCCTCACCTTGTAAATCCCACCAAAAACAGCAGCCATAAATTTGCTCAGGAGAGCGGCGCACAGACTGGCAACATGAACGAAGGGTCCCTGTGAGGGAGGATAGAGAAAGGCAGACGTTAGAAGACAGGACACGACTAAAAGCACACTTAAAGACTAAGCAGAGCATGCTGCCTCCAAGATCAAGAGCATTATTCAAAAACCTTTGCACGATTAAACCACGCTCAGATGCAGATTCAAACTGCTTTATTACACCCTGGATGGGAAATGTAACTGCTATTAGCAGTAAATCACACTTTTATTTTGACAGCTCTGACTTTAATGAGACTAGAAGAGAGAACATTATTAAATCTTCCAGACCTACAAAAAAGCCTTTAATTCATTGGTTGTAATTTGTGAAGCCAAGAAGACTCTAATGGGTGAAGGCTAGGGGAAAAATAAACTCTCTACCTCCTTCCCCAGAGGCATTCCACTACCCAGCGCGCAGGTCAGACCAATCACTTTGGCAACAAAGGTCTTAAAAGTCAGATACTCCTTCAGAACCACCCCCCTGAGTATGGTCTTCATCTCTGGAATACCTGAACCTGAGACATGAAAAGATGCCAGGTGGGATGATGCAGTGCAGAGAAAAGATGAGTTGAAAGAAAGCAATTACACAGAGGGGGGTGGGGGAATAAATGAAGAGCAAGAGGAGACAGTAAGGGGAAAAGCTGATTGATATTCATATAGTTTTAGTATGCACATCTCATCAGAGCTATATTTAATGGATTTCCTGCAGATGCAATCACTAAGACATACAGCACATGTCCTTGGAGCCCTTATGGAGCACTACAGAGCCAATTACACAGAAATAAGACCATGAATTAGAATTAGAATATAAATACATATGTTTATGTCCACATTCTGTGTGCATGTCTTACCCACAGCCTGAGGCGCAAGTATCTGTGTGAATCCTGCAGAGAAAGTAATGAGGACTACAGGGTAGCTGATCCAGGCAATGTACTGCAGAAGCAAGTTACTGTCCAGTCCACCGTACATCCACTTCTGTGCTGCACACACACATATAAGGAACTTCATTTCAGTATCATGCAGTACAAAACTAAACTAGTCAAAAACTATTCCCAATTAATTTTCTGTGACTCCTTTTCTCTTCTTCTTCTCTTCGACTGCTTCTCTGTGCTCTAACCCCAAATCTCTGCCTTTGATTTCCTCACCCTCAGCAACTCCTCTTTCATCCTACGAGCAAATTTACAGTTTCAAAAACAGAGGAAAAAAAACGAAAGCTACTAAACTAAGCCAGCTGTGTATTTCGCCATCTATTTTTCTTCACTCGTACCTGAAAAAAAGATCTTTTCAAAAATGTTCTGATGCTCAGAGAGGATGCGCTGGAAAACATCAGCATGGGCGGAAAAGATGGCGTGTTTGCTCAGTCATGGCTGAGTAGTGTTTTGTTAAAGTTAATGATGTGTCAACCTTTTTTTTTTTTTTTTTTTTTTTTTTACAAGTTTTGGTTTTGTTTGAACACTTTTAGGAAAGAAATGTCAGGAAAAATAATCTGGTTTATTATAATTTATTGTGAGATTTTGGGAATTTTTTGTATCAAATACTGTATAGTTTCTATTCACATCACAGATGTTTGTAAAATCCCAGTTTGTTTGAAATGTGAATAGAAACCGTGATTTCTAAATATTATGAACCAATATTTCATCACAATTAAATTGTCTTCACAATGCACCTCTTAGCCGTTCATATGAAGCCTAACTCTTCGAGGTTTAATGCCGCCCCTGTGAGAACAGCATCACATTTGCTGTCTGTCCAGTCTTTCAAGCATCTCTCTCTCATTTTTGGTATGCATCTCTTTCCTACCTTCTTGACAGAAGGCGATGGCATAGTCCATCACCCAGCTGACCAGAGCCATGAGTAGCCCCAGCAGAATGAGGAAGATCCAGTCCTCCCCCACCCGTGAGATCAAGAACTTCTGGCAGCGAGATGCACACACTGAGGGCACAGAGAAACAGAGAGAGGGAATCAAAAGCAAAGAAATTCCAGGTGTGATGAGACTGCAGAGATATACTTGTTTGTATGCGACTCAAAGAAACACCAGTGTCAAGGAGAAAAGAGGAGAGGAGAAGGAAACTGAATTATAAATAATCAAACTGAATTATAAATAAGCTGAAAAAAGGAAGTCTAAATAATAAAACTTTTGAAAAAGATTCAAAACTGTAATATGATGTTAAATGGTTGAGTTAAAAAAGGTATGAATAAAAGATTAATACACCCATTCATTTAAACGTAATAGGCACAGACATATGGCTGCTACATATACAGGCATATTAGCATATCTATATAGATATGCCTAACCAGGTTCGGGTCGCAAAACCAGAGAAGCGGTAAAAACCGGATGGATGGACATTTTTAGAGTGAAAACTGTCGGCTTCACTGTTACAAAGACTAACCAGCTTGTTAGGACTATGCTTGCCTGCCATAGCCCAGCTTTTAAAGAGGAAGTGTGACTTCTCTTTGGTAGATGTAACCTAAATTTCTTTGTGAGCTAGTTAAACAAAAAAACAAACAAAAAAAAGCTCACAAAAATTACTAATTGTCATATTTTGTTAAAGTCACATGATCACTCAACTCTACTACATATGGAAAAAATAATAACTCAGTTATATAAATAAACAACAACTAGTTGCATTCAAGGAACGTAACTTCTTTTGGTCCTACAAACTCAGTCACCCATTAGTTGCATTAATTAATATGTTTCAGCTGGAAACAAGTTATTTAACTCTAAACGGGACAGCGAGTAACTAAATTATTGGCCAGCATTAAACGATGAAAACAACTAAGGAGACTGCTGAAACTATTATAATAACAGTTCAAAGATAGTGGTGAACTATCGTCTTTTAAGAAGAAATATGGAACTCACGACTATATTTTGACACATACACTGCAAAGAGATCTGAAGGGATTGGCAATAAACATCTGTGTAGACTTAAGAAAAACACTCATCAGTGAGACTAATCTGGAAAACAGGCTTCAGTTTGCCACATAAAGATTGGACCCTGGAGCAATGGAAAAAGCTCATGTGGTTTGATGATTCCAGATTTGACCTGTTTCACTGTGAAGGTTAAATCAGAGTAAGAAGAGAGCTGGATGAAGCAATGCACCCCTTGTGACTAGTGCTTGCCGTACAAGCCTGTAGGGGCGGTGTTTTGATTTGGAGTTGCTTCAGGTGGTCAAGTTTAGGTTCAGAAACATTATTTGCCAAAAAAGGTGTTTCTACCAGTGGAGTTTTCTTTTACTGGTGGCACAGGCATATTTATAGATGACACTGCCAGGATTCACTGGGTTCAAATCGTAAAAGAGTGGTTGAGGGAGCATGAGACATCATGGGGTTGCACTGGTCTTAAATTAAAAAAAAAAAACTGAATACATTTTTAGGTCAGCACTGGACAAAATTTGAGTGATTTTACGTGTATTTTAATGAAGAAAACAAGAGTAAAAAGATGCAGTGAGCAGAGAGATGTTATCACGTTTGCACATGAGAGAATCACATTATCTTCATCCAGTTCAAATATGAGAATATCAAGACAAAAAAAAGCTAGGTCATGGTTATAAATTCTACTATTACATTATAATCTATAACTCTGGGTTAGGTCAGCTAAAAGAAGCATCGCTGGACTAATTTCTCCTCGCTTGTCTGCGGACACTGCCAAAGCCTGGAATTCACAAATATCCAGAGCATTCATAGATGTGCCTGTCCCCAGAGAAGCTAAAAATGTGCTACTAACACATTTGCCAGATCCACACTTCATGACAGCATTACAGCCAAGTGAGAAACCAAAAACACTTTTTTGTTAATTGTTCAGCTTGTTTGTAGAGGAAATGGAAACGGTTGTAGAGGAAAAAGTTTGATATTCGTCACTCATTATGTGACTAATTGGAAATAAATGTTCATTACGATGCAGTTTGTGACATTTGCTCAAAGCTTAAGTACTGAGCTGTCTTATGAAATGATTTATCATTTTTAAATGAAACCAATCACATGGCAGCAACTCAATGCATTTACAGACATGGTTAAAAACAACCTGCTGAAGGTCAAACTGAGCACTGAAATTAACATGGCATAGTTATTGGATGTTGAGTCTTTCAGAAACTGCTGATCTGCTGGGATTTTCCTAAACAACCATCTCTGGGGTTTATAGAGAATGGGCTGAAAAAGAAAAAATAACCAGTGAGCAGCAGTTCTCTGGGTGAAAATACCTTATTGATGCCAAAGAGCTGGTAGGAAGACAACAGCAACTCCAAGAACCACTCCAAGATATTCAGAAGAGCATCTTTGAATGCAAAACATGTCAAACCTTGAAGCAGATGGGCTACACAGCAAAAGAACACACCAGGTGCCACTCTTGTCAGCTAAGAACGGGAAACTGAGGCTATAATTGAAACAGAGTTACCAAAGTTGGACAACAGAAGATTAAAAAAAACACCGCCTGGTCTAAGTCTTGAGTTCTGATTGTAGAATTTGGGGTAAACAACATGAAAGACTCATCCTGCCTTGTATCAATGATTCAGGCTGATGGTAGTGAGCTAATGGTGTGGGGGATGTTTTCTTGGCACACTCGGTACCTCTTAGTACCAAATGAATGAACTGGTTTCTTGAACATGACAATGAGTTCACTGAGTTCACAATGAGTCACATTACTCTGCCCCCACCGTGTAATGTGATAATATTTACTATTTCACATCAAGATATCTTGTGGTTATGCTGCTTGTATAATGTTTTGATGTGGCTCAAAAAAAGAACTGCTCGTGTTAAATCTTGTTTGAATGGCATGCTGCTATTCAAAAACCAAAACAAGGAAAATGATAAATGAAAGGACTTTGCAGCAGTCTTTCTAGGCCGGGAAGCAGGTCACAATGGGATGCAGCGTCTCCTGAGGGAAATGAGGCACAACTGTGTGCGTGATGGGGCAGGCTGTCCAGCTGCCAGGCCACCTGCTGGATGGCAAACAGCCAGCATAGAACCTACACATGAACATGGGATAAGCATGCAATCTGACACATGACACAATCTCACACAGAGTCAAAAAGAAAACATGCCTCTGAAAAATATTTAGCAGATAAATCTAAGCGAACATATGAGATGACATGGTTTTCTAGATTGTGTCATTTTACTTGACAGTTCAGTTGAAATTCTTTGATAAAAGAAAGAGGGGGTATTCTCAGAGATTCTCTGTATGTATTCCCTTGAATCTCTTTCTCACACTCTCACACACACACACACACACACACACACACACAATCTTTAAGAGGACATTCACTGACGTAATGCATTCCCTAGCCTCTTAACCTGCCCTTATCTATCACAACAAAGTGCGTAATCTAAACATATTTTTAATATGAACCCTAATCATAAAAGGGCACCCGTAGTTTTATTTAATCTATATTGCTTTGCTGAGTTACCCTCTTTTTAGGGTTCTTTTGGCAGGTCCTGTTTAGCTCCATTATACTGAAGCAAAACTGGACAACTCACATAACAGCAATCTAGATGGATAAACAGCACTACAGCCAAAAGGGAAAAATTCATACATCTAAACTGGAGTATGAAGTGTCCCTTATTTGACTTGAAACCAGCGAAAATGTCCCCATACTGATGGTCTTAGAATTTGTAGGGGTCCTCATAAAGGCAGCTATACAAGTACACACACACACACACACACACACACACACAGTCTGGCACCTGCACCACCACATACTTCCATGTGCATCTTGGCTCACACTCACATCCGCAGGCTCAGTGGCGTTCACAGATGTCTTCTCCTGATCCCGCACTAAAAATCACACCCAACGCCAGACACTTTCTCCACCTCTGCGAGTCCTGCATTGCATCACCCTAATCATTAATAATGTTGAAAATGCAGGAGATCATTCACCTACAGCCCTTTTCAAAGATTTACAGTCCTCGAATGTACAGTGAAACACTAGCTGTGATATTATTCACTGAGGCTGAACCTTGGAATAACCTGCAGTCCCAGGTCTGATTAATACCTGCTACAAAAATGCACCAACATTTCACTCTGTGAGGCAAAAATAATCAGTGAGGGGAGTACATGTTTTGTAGCTCAGCAGCACAGTCTTTAGTTGCATGTGTAGGTTGCCTTGTTCAAAAACCTCCAACTACTGATACGAACCGAGGCACACACTAGTCCATCACCCACAGATATGATGTTCCCACACAGATGCATGAGAGGAAAGCACTAAAACTCCCACTTCCACCAAATCTGAAGGCTCTCTCAGCACACATTACCTAAGAATGAAAGCAGCGGTGCCTGGCCAGCCTGAGTGCCTCTCCAAAGATGAGTCTAAAAATACGAACACCTCTTGATCTATGAGCACACACGGCAGACAGTGAACACACAAATCACTCTGGCTGCTGATCTGACTGATTGTTTTAAATGGCTTCTATTACAGCCAGCAAGCAACGCTGTGCTGATATAGTGCAGCTTTCACCTATAGTGCAATCTATTGCTCTTTAATCAGATCACTAGTCACAAGGGCAAAGAGGCAGAGATGGATAGTGGAAAGCCGCCACGCTGGCTCACTTACGCAAGCACGAGTAAAAACAAACACTGCCTTTCCCTCCTATTGCCTTGTCGAGAGTCATCCCTGAGAGTGATTATTTATTTTAACACTTTATTTTCTGTTATTTGTCTTACATAACTTTTTTCCCCAGTTACTAATAGAGTTCAATAAATCTGTGTCCCCTCTGAAAAACAATCGGGTAAACTGCAAGTGGAACTTTTAAGTATTTATAATCCTGTTTCCAAAAAAAAAGTGTAAAATAAAGACAAAAGACTGAAAAGGTATGTGATGCTAAAGCTTGCGTTGTGGGGAATATCTTGAAAGAAATTAGGTTAAGCAACAAAAACTGGGAATAATCAATCATGTTGCCTTATTAAGTCCTTATTGTTACTTATTTCATGGGTGAAGATAAGGAGGATCTGGCCACTCTAAACAGTTTGCTATACTGATAAGGAGTTTCATCTTCTGTACACAGTGGACTGACACTGGCTAACATTTACAGCTCTTTTACACTATGATCACATTTAACCATGCATTCATTCAGGCCTCTATCCACCTCACATCTATGGCCAGTTTAGAATCACCAATTAACCCATCATCTATGTTTTGGATGGTGGGAGGAAGGCAGAGCACCAGTAAAAAACCTATGCAGACACAAGGAGAACATGCAGTCCACACAGGATAGTTCTTGTTGTGAGTTAAGACCACTGCACCACAGTGCCAGTATCATGAAAAGATTCAGAGAATTGGGAGGAATCTCTATACACGAGAAAAAGGTCTGAAAACAGATTTTAATGGCCGTAATCTTTGAGCCACTCACAGGAACACTTAAGAGTTCTCAATACTTCCAAAAGCCGTGCCGTCTCTCTGTGACATCGTGTTAGACACACATCTGAATGCTCCAGATCCGCAAAGTGTCAAAACATCTGTTTTGACAAATATGAGTGCAAGTCGAAGTGAATTTAAAAACGTGGCCCTTGTTTGCATGTTCACACTTTACCAAATTTGGAGTCTAAGCAGAAAAAAACAATTCTGACACAAACTGTAGAGAGTGGGCACAGACAGTTTTATTAAAGTTCTCCTACAGCTGCAAGTGCTGATGGTGTCAGCAATAAATGCAAATGCAGCAAAGCAAACCTTAAGAAATATTATTATCATAGGATCTTTACTCTATAATATAAACTGCTTTGGAAAAATGTATTTTATCTGATCCATAAAATCAGAAATTACAAAAATCAATAAATTGAATAATCAGATTCTTCATTTTACCAACCAAAATGCCACAGCAGAGGTCTGTACTACGAGGCATGGTTTCCTTTTATCCAGGCAACTTTCAGGTTAACCCTGGATTCCTAATACTATGAGTTGTGGATCACTTCTTACTGGGTATATCGACATCATAATATAACATGTTCTGGCTGACCTCATCTTCGACTTGCACGTAAACTAAGCCTAAGTTTGAGTTCAGTTTTTATATTTGTTCTTTACTGTCAGGCTGTTAAACACCACTGAGGCTGCTGCTAAAAGAACAAAAACTAAAACTATCTTTTAAACATCAATTTAACCAAATACTCGTTATAATCTATCAGAGTCTCCCACTCTCCCTTATCTTAACGACAGAACCGTGTTATTGATAGGTCTGTTAACTCACACACTATGCTTTTTTACCGGCTTTCTTTCCTGGCTATAAATAGGCTACACTTTATTAATATAGCAGCTCTTTTCCAACCTTACTGACCAAAGCACTTAAAGCAGACACTCTTAATACAATATTACTCTAAAGTGATTTTCCTCTCACGCAAACTCACACTGCTGATTTGTCTGCAGGAGCTGTGTTGCTGTGTTTAACCTCGTCATATTTTTCCCATAGTATAGTTTAAGTTCTTCAGCCATTCTTGTGAATGGTCAGATGCTGCCAACACCACCTCTTTCACGTGAATATGCAGGGAAACCCTGGGTTAGCTCAGTGAGATCGTTACCCTTGTGTTGCTGCCTATCCCGAATGCCTGTGTTAGGGTAAGTGAATTCAGATAACAAAAAGATCCCCTGGCTGTGTTAAACTCACTTTGTAGTACAAGGCTCTGGAAAGAAGGTCGACTCAACTTGAAGTAGACACTAAAACATTTCCTCGCTCGACAGACACTCCAGCTTTAAGATACGTATTTGTCTGTAAGGTTTCGCCTGGATTGATTAAGATACGATGAGTTCATTTGTAGAGCTGTAAGCTTTGAAAAATGACAAATACAATGTGACTTTCTGAAAAACAATATCACAGTCATTCAAAACACATTTGGAAGATGCACGCATACACACAGAAATACACATAACACTCCATTACTGTAGAGTACATCGGTCTCAAGTGGAGCTCTCTGCTGGTGCCACTCCTTTATCTGCAGTCATCTGGGAAGACTAGACATAAAATAACCTGACAGCTCAGATCAGCGTTTTGCTCACATAAACAAACGTAAACACAAAGTGAAGCAATCGGATACACTCACACACTGACAAACACAATGTGGGCCACTGGCTGCCAGCAGAGGACGCTGTCCCTGCCTTTGACATTGAGACAGTCCTTGGTGTCTGGAGGTCGTTGCTCAGATCAGACACATTTAATTCTTCTCTTTGGGCTTCATTTATAAAGCACACAAGTCGCATGCAGGTAGCATGGTGTGAGCAGAAAAACACTCAAAATGAGCCTTTTAGAAAATCTTACTGTGACATGTAAATGATCTATTCTGTAAGGAAAGTCTAGTTTTTTAATGCAAATGATGTTTTTGTTGGTTATGTGGGGGTGTTACTCTCTAAGACGTTTATCAGCCTCAGTTCTGAGTTTTTGTCCTGATCACTGCCAGGCTGGGACTGTTAAACTGAGGAACTTTTATCGGACGTAAAAGTCCGACACCATCGGGAATACCATCAGGAAACCATAAATATGTAGGACCTTTTTTCTCCATCTTTTGTAGCTGCTGTGCTGTACTTCAAGAACTCGTCGCTTTCACACGACTTTAACGCTCAGTGAAGAGCTGAAATCACAGTTTTAGGGGTGCGCACACACACGATTCACTATAGTTAATCACTACATTGGTCTGACCTTCAGGCACTACCTGCACAGTTTCTCCTTGCAAGCCTGAGTCTGAAGAGGGAGTATCAAACATTCAGCCTTACAACGAGTTCTGCAGAGTCCAGCAGGAGAGAAGGACGGTTTTATTCTTAATCACAAAGTATTGTTGTAGCGGATCATGAGCTGACCGTGTTTGTCCAAACTCTGAAGTCTAAATCATTGTCAGTTTTAAAAACATTACCCACACTACACCATACTGATGTGTTTCTATGATTTTTTAAATCCAGGCTTTCTGAAGGTCTTTCAAACTTCTTATATTGACATTGGCGGTTTTGTTCACTCCAGTTCTTGTAGCTGACCATTTTCAGAGGAATTTTTTTGTTTTGTTTTGTTAAGCCACTCAACACTGACCTATGAATCATTCAAAGATAAAAAGGCACCAAACTCAAGGGACGAACAAGTGTTGTATCTACACGTAGCAGACAACTTAAAAAGCACCATTGTATCTTCAGGCAGCAGTGCGGGATCATTGTGACAGAGAAGGGAACAAAAGGCAGCAAACATCCAAAGAAGAGCTCCGAATGTCCTTCAAGAAGCCTGGAGAACTATTCCTGAAGACTACTTGAAGAAATTCTAAGAAAGCTTGCCTAAGAGAGTTCAGGCTATGTTGAAGAATAAATATGGTCATACCAAATATTGACTTTCAAGCTTGTTAGAAGTATACAAACTCTGTTTTTGCATGATATACTGTATTTCCAGGCACGTTTGCACGTTTTAATAAATTGCTGCACCTTTTTCCCATTTTCCCAACAAAATACAAAGAAATGAGGACTGCCTCAAGACTTTTGCACAGTACTGTACAACAGTAGCTTGTACTGCAGTGTCTTTGTGACTTGAAGTCACTGTTGTGAACTAGTGATACATAAATATCATTTAGATAAACTGAATAGGTGAAAATAGAAAAACTGGAACATTTTGTAGAAACCGTTTTACTGGTCTGGCCCACCTAAAATCAAATTTGTCTGTACGTGGTTTATGAATCAATATGTGGGTTAGGGGTTAAAAGAGTGATCGTCACTTACACTGGCACTTTGCACAAGGGTCCTTCTCATATTCCAGAAGATCAGCACGACTACGAACGCTGGCGTTCCTCCTCATGCCACCGCCATCCCGCACCCCTCCATCACGTAGGCGCGCCGCCTCCTCCTTGGCAAACACCCCCAGCTCCTGGGTGTACCGCCCATACATCTGAATAGATGGAAAGGAAAAAGTTTTTACACTGGTAGTAACAGAGGAAGGCAGTGTAGAAAATGTCAGTGTGATACAGCATGTTTTCCACTTTAAAAATGAATACTGTGTTGGGTCACAATAATACATTCAGCGTAAACATGCAAAGGTTCAAGCTCTGAGTAAACAGACCCAGCTGTGGAAAATTCACTGACTGCAAATAGAAACTCCATTCACAGCTTTCCTCTTTAATTCTCCTTTAGAAATAAATAAAAAAAATCACCCAGCTTTGACTCAGCAGTCGTGTAATGACTTCTTTTCAGACAGATGAGCAGACAATAAGCTCCACCTGTCAGCTCCCAGCTGATTAACTCTGCAGGGCTGGCACACAATTGACTACTAACAATGAGAGGCGGTGTTCATAGCGAACTACACACAATCAATCACATATAAAGACTGCATCCCAGCCATAGATGTGGTTGTTGTAGATTTGGCCAGTGTGTAGTTAGTTATTAACACCATAATGAAGTTTTTCAAGCTGCTGTTTAGTGTTGTGGTTGTTTGGGTTTGTTGTGTTACTGCGCAGCATTCCTGGAAGATTCCTCTGCAGAAACCTCAAACTTCTCATTCTTTTCAGTGGTTTCAACAACAGTCAAATGTCCCTCCAACTGCAGCTCCTCTTAATAAATGCCTGGTAGAGGAGGCTCAGAAGCTCCGGTGTGGGACTCCAGATTTGACCCCTGAACAATGTGAAAAAATGAACTGCTGCTTTGATGGGCTACGGTGCTACTATGGGAAAACAGGTATTTATGCTTCGGTGAGGTTTCTTTTCCTGTTGGTGGACATGTGAAACTGAGCAGACCTTCACCCATCTATTGTCTTGTCTCCCAGTGACTGTGCAGTGTACCAGGGATGGCCAGTTTGTGGTGGTTGTGGCTAGAGATGCCACCCTGCCACCTATAGAGCTGGACTCAATCGACCTGCTGGAGACTGACGATGTCTTCTGTACCTCTGTCGACAGCACCTCTGCCTTTGCCATCTTTCAGTTCCCTGTGACAGCATGTGGCACCACAGTTACGGTAGGTGGAGGGTTATCTAGACAGTTTTAATATGAAAATACAATCTGATCGGATTCATCACTTGAACATAGTCATATTTTTTCCCCTCTTCCCACAGGAGGAGGATGGTTTTGTTGTTTATGAAAACCACATGTCGTCTTCATATGAAGTAGGAGTTGGCCTAAAAGGCTCAATCACCAGGGACAGCCATTTTGAGTGAGTCTGTCAAACGGGAATTGAGTCATTAATTGGCAAATTCTGAACACCATGACAACACAAAAGCACTGATTTATTTTTATTTGAGTCAACTCTATATAAAAACCCCTTTAGCTTCATGTATTGTAAACTTTTTTCCTCCTTTGGCAGCTGCGATGTAAATGTGCTGTTTCTAAAGCACTGCCAGTCAAATTTTGTTTAAATGTGCTGTAAATAAAATGACTGCCATCCCTAAAAGGTTCATACTTCTGATAGTGTATGTTTAAGGTATAATTTCCAAAAAGCTTAAGCAGTTCAGTGGGTACATGTTGGACTTGAAAGAGAACCTGTCGATCCTATTGGACTAATATCTAGAACCAGTGCCTCTGTTATCGTGCCACACTACAAAGCAATTAGCCTGTAGTTGATTTCCATTCATTCTATGATTTAACTCTTAAAGGGACTGAAACTTAAGTAGGCCTTTGACTGCTTAAATAGCACAAAGTTGTGCTCTGCCGACAGGCTACTGTTCCAGTGTCGGTACTCCGGCACAGCCACAGAGGCTCTCATCCTGGAGGTGAGCCCTGTTCCTCCTCCCGTACCGGTTGCTGCTGCAGGACCTCTCAGAGTGGAGCTCAGACTGGGAAGTGGACAGTGCCGCACAAAAGGATGTGTGGAGGGTGAGTGACACGACCCCTAAGAAGCAGTACAGAAATGAACTTGTATGCACTAAAACTATTACTCTACTTGCAGAAGTGGCAGCGTACAGCTCCTTCTATGCCCCGTCAGACTACCCAATCGCCAAAGTGTTACGGGAACCAGTCTATGTTGAGGTGCGCATCTTGGCAAGGTCCGACCCAAATATCATTCTGAACTTAGAGCACTGCTGGGCCACTTCCAATCCAAATCCTGACAGCCTGCCACAGTGGGACCTTCTGTTTAATGGGTATATAAAAGCAATCTGCTACAACTTTGTACAGTTTTTGTATTTTGTGCTAAGGTGGATTCTTCTTGGCTGCAGGTGTCCATACCATGATGACAAATTCCTGACCACAGTGGTTCATGTGGACGGCTCCTCTGGGCTTCAGTACCCGACGCACCACAAACGTTTTGTCATAAAGATGTTTACATTTGTGGATCCAAACGACTTCTTTCCACAGCAAGACAGGGTACAGCAGAGCTTATTTAAATTGGATTCCCTTCACAGAAACTGATTTCTTGACCAAATGTACTTTTTTTTCTTTTTTTTTTTAAAAAAGGTGTTCATCCACTGCACCACAGCTGTTTGCTATCCAACCAGCATGGACTCTTGTGAGCAGTACTGTCATCGACAGAGTGAGTATCTTGATTGTAGTCTAATACTTAAACTGCCTGGCATTCTGCCCTAAGTTTACAGAACTGCAGCTTTATGCAAGTTAAGCAAAACTTTCCAGAGCTTTTACACATCAAGAAGGCAGATCGCACTGAAATTGGCATTTGCAAGCTTAAATCAAAGGTAGAAAGGCTTCCCCCTGGAAGAGCTGAAATGGCATCTAGAATTTTTAGCTTTACATATTCACTTATGCACTTCTGTAAGATTCTCTTTTTCAGCACTTAAAGGAAAAAATGCCTGCCTTGCAGGAAGAGCAGTATCTGCAGCAAGGAAAGTTTCCCAGAGCCAGAGGGGCCTAGTCTCAAGTGGTGAAGTGATCCTGACTGAGAAGACCACAGCAGCACTGAACGCTAAACTGAAAGGATGACCTTCCACTGGCACGCCATTTCTGGCTGTCATTTTTAATAAAAAGCTTGTTAAAAGCTCATGCTGAACAACTGGGTTTTGTCTCAAATCACTGCTTGAAGGTGACTAACTTTCGCTGAGGTAGATATTCTACAAAGTCAAGCCAGTAACATGATGAAGGTGCCACCCTGTTTTCCTGATTCTTGCTGACAAGGCAGCAAGATTGCATTACAACTAGATGCTTGGAAAATCTATACTGAAATGTACAATAGCATTGTATAACACAGCAGATTTGCTTTCAGTAGTGAAAAACTGCTTGTCAGGAAATGTGCTTGACTAGCAACATTAGATGTAAAGTATTAAGACATGATTTGGTGGATTTTTTTTTTATTTTTTTTCTCTCCTCCTACCATGTCTCATTAAGATGAGACTCATGATTCCTCAAGACTTGCTGGTAGGCTTCTTGTAGATTTCTCTATGCTACAACCTGCAACATCTCTCCTCCACTGCTCTATGCACCACCTCCCTTTTTGTGTCCCACTCAACTCCTCCTCCTCTCATTGAGATGGGCATCACGACTCCTCCAGACTCTGTCTTTCTGCTCGCATGAACAGGAGGTGCAGAGGGAAAGCAGAGCAGCTGTATAGGTTCAGTCTGACGTGCAGAGAACCATGCTGTCAGATGTCCATCTCACTCTATTTTTATTTATTTTTGAAAAAAACCGCTAACCTGCTGGAAATCATTAAAACGTGATGCAGCTATGTATCATATTCAGGCAGGACTGCATTTAAGTACCGCTGCAAAATTCTCAGAGGAACTGGCCCATTGGATGGCGAGCAGTAACAGCTGCTGTGTGGATATAAACAGAGTGGAAAATGTTTTGCCACTGGTTAAAAATGCTGTCGGGTTGATAGATTAAAAATAGGTGCAGTGTGGAATGCTAAATGTTAGAAAAACAAGGGGTGGGTGGGGGGCAGTTGTGATAAAAACTATTATTTGGGGTGAAAATGGAACTGTTCATGTAAATGATCAATTTCTGTCCTTAATGAGAAACTCCAGATAATGAAAGCTTTCATTTTGATAAAATATAGGGTGTAAGATTGTTTTGAAAATTCATTTCCATCGGTTTCTATCGAATGAGATTAACGCTGTTCAGTCTGGAAAGTGCAATGAAGAAAAATATTAAATCTCGTATTCAGGTTTTGTGACACAACTTCACATCAATCTCAGCATGTCCTACAATCATGCAATAATGACATGCACGTTTTTCTCAGTCTGCATTTCAAGATCATTGGGGTGATTTTTGCCTTTTAGAAAGAACAGTGTGATAATGTCACCTCCAGCCAATGACTATGACCACAGACTGTATAAAAGATGATTCGTGACCATATTGGCATCGTCTGGTTTTATGGGGGGGGGTTGCTGTTTGTTTGTTTATTATTTTATTTTATTATTATTGGTTTTATCATTGTAATATTTTTTCAGATAATTCTGCTTCATGAAAATGTTCCAAAAGAGTGAGGCCTTACAGACAGACAGACAGGGGGAGGGATTCTCTGAGAGCTGACCAATTTTAAACTACAGGGGGCTCCACCTGACTCCACTCACTAGTGGTTTAAGTGGCATGCATGACTCAGTTTCCAACTGTGAGTGGAGCGGATAATAAAGATTAAATATCTACTACTCTAGCCTTCACTGTGGGGGAGAGACACTTGAATAATATACCTTGTACTAGCATCACATAACTTTTTGTTTTTACTTGGCTAGCCGAAAAGCCTAGCGTGTCCAACTCTGCACTCTGTGACATGAATGGGTCGAGTCTGTATTTGGGTTTTTTTGTTGGTGTCAGCCACAGGTGAATGTACTGGGAAGGTAAATCCTTTTCAGCAACTTAACTGGAGGAACTGCAGTTTCTGCCAATTCCATATTTGCTACTTTGTTCAGCTCTGGAGGCTGGTGCTTGATTGTGACACATGAATTGTTCTTTTGGCTTTTACAATTCTTCAGTGTCCTTTGATAAGGAAGCAGCAGTGCTGTGAATCATAGCTGAG